CCGTCCTCACCGTGCAAATATCGTAAGCGAATGCCTTCAATCGGAGGATATCACCCGTACAGACTGGCCAGCATTCTCACCAGACTTGAACCAGTAGAACACGTGTGGGACATGCTTGGCCGACGAGTTGCAGCCCGTCAACCTCCTTCTACATGTCTACCGGAACTTCGGAGTGCATTGCTTTTTGAGTGGTGTAATATCCCCCAAGATCAGATCGATAATTTGATACTCAGCATACCTAGGCGTTGTACGGACTGTATTGCATTGTCTGGGAGACATACAATGTATTAATTAACAATCAACCAACCATGTAATATTGTTTTTTTGTAAATAAGTTTTTTTTTTTTTTTTTTTTTTTTTTTTTGTAATTTGCTCCAGGGAGAAAAAAAATTGCTAATTTTTTAATGATATCAAACATATAGCATCTTTTTTTGCTCTTTACCTTTTGTTTAATAAATAAGCTTTACAAATAAGTCAAATTTGTTTTGCTTCTAACTCTTCCTTTGCCTGATTTTGCATTATCCTTAATTTATGAACATGGGTGTATTTACCAGTGTTAATTATCAGAAAAATTGATTTTTATGTTGATATTTTGGGGGATGCGGAAAGGATTAGCTGGATTTCCATTATTTTCAATGGGGAAGTTTGTTTCTAGATACCAGAAATTCGCTGTACGAGTTCAATGCTGGATGGAAATAAACTCGTATCTCGAGGTTCCACTGTATTTGTTGAATTTTTGTTCTCGACATTGTAACCGAGTCCATATTCATTTGATATTCTCAACTCCGTAGAAGATCGTAATAAGAATTGAATTAAACGCAAGTAGAGTAGAAGGGATTTATTATTCAACATGTCTCATACAGTTCAAAGCATTCCCTTCATTTGCTGTTATTATTTATCTGAAGCAAAAGAATTCGAATATGCTTTGCATTAGTAGTTATTGTTAAACTGTTGTGCGTGAAAATATCATATATTTATCAAATAATTACTTATTTTCTATTCAATATATCTGTGTAAATTTATTTTTACAAACCTTAAGAAACAAGTATCTGTTGGATATTAAATCAGATCGCCACAAATACGTTTCAAATTTTAATTAAGATCACATCTAGACGCAAAGAAAAGGAAACATCAAACAACAAGTTTCAGTTTTTACGGAACGTATTGTAATTGCACTTTTTCTTAGTTCTTAACTAACAGTAATTTTTTTCGAATTTGTAAACTATAATTAATTTTAACAATTAATCATAATTTAATTTATTTTAATAGTTATATAATAGTTTATGCAGTGAAATTTAAATAACTTGTGTATTCGAAATCATATTCTTACTTCCTGCTAAGAAAAATACAAAGGTCAGAGGTCAAAACAAACATTCTGTAAAAAAGGAGATTTTCAAACACGTTAAGTGTAAAATTCATCGCATTAATCATTCGTTGGATATACTAAGATATTTTTACTACCAGAATATTATTTCAAAATCGTGTGTTACTATTTGAAAGGTATAAGTCTTTCTAATACTGTAAAACGATGTTTTTTTACTTCCTTGTACTAAGTAAAAAGGAAGTATTGTAATCGCGAAGAACTTCAGGCATCATATTTCAAAGAAAATATCTATTTTGATCGCTATCGAATGCAATTTAACGATGTTTTTGTGTGACATCTGTACGTAAGGACAGAATAAAAGACTCGTTTTTCTCCAAAAAATTAGAAACTGCTATAATTAATTCTGAAAAGAATTTTTCGTGGCTTGTGTGTGCGTATGTATTACGTATCTCTCATAACTCAAAACGAGTACCTCAGAACTGAACTTTGTATTAGGTTGCGATAACATGTACATGGCCCCTATTTGTTTGCAATCGACCGCACCAAAGTCATAAATAATATAATAAAATCCACTCTGCTCATATCTGTTCTTTATTCTTATATGTTTTGTAAATTGTGCTTTTTTTTTTTTTTTTGCTTTAAAATGATTGAATTATTTGTTTTATCTTCCGGTTAAGGTTTTTATGCTATTCTGCATGCAATAGTTATCAACAATTTAAAAAAAGTTGTTAAGTGCTCTACCCTAATATTTTTGCCAAGACGCACTGCTTGTCTCTTGAACAGAGACTATAATTTGTGCCAATCTATAGAAGTAAGCTTCGCATAAAAGTAACGCCTTCTTTTTATTTCGAATTAAAATCTGCTTATGCAATCTGGATTGTGGATTTGGAATTGGATTTGAATTCAATGATGGCAAGCACACGAGTCTATCTGTGTAAGGTAGGGATTCCTTGTGGAAGGCCTTTCTAGGGAACTGGATCGTAATACACGTTACCCTGGGGAAACCAAAAAACGTCCATGCGCCAGCCCGTTCGCGGGATTCCAACCTCAGACCGACTACCATGTTCTCGTCTTTACACGCTCGCCGCTGTGGGCTTATCTAACCTGGAATTTATCGAGAAAAATAAGTCTTTAAGTTTAGTTCTTTTTCAATCCAGATATTTTGAGTTTTTTATATTTTTGCCTTGTCGCAAGTGAAAACGATTATGATGAGAATACTAATGTCTGTTAAAAACTGTTTCTTTTTTTTTCTTCTTTTCTTTCTTCCTTTTTTTTTTTGTTGTTTGTTTGTTAATTTCTTTTTATATATGGTTTTATATTATTAATTATAAGTATTTGAATAGAACATGTGGCAACGATTAGATATTCTTAAGATGACATATTTTGTGCATTCTGATTAAAAAATGATCCTATGTAATAATTGTTTTAGAACTGACTGCCCTTCCACGGCCTCAGTATCTTCGCGTCCTCGGGTGGTGCGTTCGCACTGATTTATTTACACGGCAATTGACCAAACGAACTGTTAAATCCATTGATGGGTACAGTATCCGAGCTATTTGATTATGTTAAATAATGAATTACCTGTTAATTGAACCAGGGCCAGATGTCCTATCCTAACAAATATACTGAATTTTAAGATGCATTATCTTGTGGTTTATGCGCTATCGACGAAATAAATTTAATCAATCCAATAGTTTATATAGCCCCTCGGGGCTTTGCCATATTAAATCACACACACGCACCAATAGTTTTAAATGATGCAAGAAAAATACGTAAATTTATATCCGTACAAGGAAGTCATGTGGTGTACACATCAGACTTTTTTTATTTTTTATTTTGACGTTATTGTAACCGATGTGTGGTATGGCTTCATATTGTTAAGCCATTATTGGAAAAGAAACACATTTTTAACGAAACGTACTAAAATGGTTTTCGCTGCGTATTTAAAAACAGGGGATATGGACTACGCATATGTTTTTTGTGACGTATTGTGGATAAAATTCTACTTAAAATCTTATACTTAATCATCACATAAATTCCTGTCACAATATGTATTATTGATATCTCATATAGTCCCTTCTTTACTTGCATTTATTAAACCAAGAAGTGCTTTTGGCATCATTTATTAAAACACAGCAAGTGAAAAATACACATCCAACTCGATCCAAAGTATACCGAAAGAATTTGAACTAGGAATTAAATATATTTTATTTTTCGACATATTTGAATTTGTACTTAAAATTATACAAAAATATACTCCTATATCACGTGAAGAGCGGTTTTTTAGAAGTCTTCTAAAATGTACAGTATCCTGTAATATACCCACAAAATATTCAGCCATCTCCTTAAAATGTGCAACAACGTAATATTTCTTGACTGCAAAATATTACTGTATACAGACAGAATATTAGAAGCTACTTAGTTTCCTAAAAATATATTTTTTGTTTTCAGAATATAATTTTCATATAAATTAATTAAAATAATACATATTTTCAAATCTAAATTTTTCTGCATAACCTACTGATGTGTATAGAAATGTTTTACTTTGTTCTTATCTAAAATTGGTCAATTGCCTTAATAATACTCATCCTACACATTCTTCATCGAGTTTACTTAAAATGTATAATATGCTGTAACTGACATATCGTTTTTCAAATCATTAACCTTATTTTGAACTTCCTTTGTCAAAAGATAATATCTTAGTTTGCGATATTATAATATTCTTCTTTTTACATACCCCTAATTCCTGAAAAACTAGAATGCTAATCACATTATTCTTTTTGATTCAACCTAACATAAATTATTATCACTATAGGTATTACATCTAGCTAATAATAATGAATGCATCTAGCCCTAGAGAGATGAAAGCAAAAATATGCTCCAAAATAGTATCAAATAAAGGCAAATATGCGGCTTAATGACTACGTAGGTACTAAGTAAGTTTCCTTCATTATTATGCAATTTAAGGTCAAATTTATATTATGAGATTGCCTATGTATCCGTTCTTTACATTTCCATGTCGATTACAGGAATTTCATTCCAGCCGCCTGCATATAAATCTCATAGTATATTACTTACAGAAGTAAAATATTACTTATAGAAATAAATTATTACTTATAGAAGTAAAATATAACTTATAGAAGTAAGATATTGCTTCAGTTCTTATGTGCAATTGTTAACGTACGCTCCAGATTTCACAAACGTTTATGTTTTTTGGATTTAATAACTGTATTATTTTTTAACTGCGTAATTAAAAGTTTTAAAATAACTTTCTCTGCGAACATTTTGTTTTATTAAAATAGATTCCTAAATAAATTATAAATATAAATTTAAAGAAAAGAAAAACGCAAACATATTCAAGCTTTACATACAGTTTTTGTATGTTAACATTGTACTTGTATAACATTTAGATACCAGCAACCAAAAATTGTCTTACTTTTGGTTCAAAGTCAACAATCAAATATACTTTGTTTAAATTTCAAGACAGTTTAGGGCATTCTGATGACGGTACTTGCGAATGAAATTCGATTTCGCCCAATCAGATAGCGAGAAGCATATAATTCACAGTTAAAGACATACGCATAAACCTGAGACTTTACAAATGTCAGGGCCATTACAGAATGATTTACAAGATTACAAAGCATGCTGCCACACCCAAAAACAAAACTAAACTCACCTAGGAAAATGTCCGGTATTGGTGCCCCCTTGCACCATGCCGCCGACACTGTTATTGGGGGCTGGGGACGTCAAGAGAGGAGTCGAAGGGTTAGCTCCAGGAGCTCTCTGTACCTTGAGGCCACTAGAAGAATTTCTTTGGCGGGGTGTGGTGCCATGCACGGCAGTAGTTCCTTGACTTCCGCGGTGCGTGGCATTGTGCCGACCACCAACTTGTCCCGCGATATTGCTGACTGATAAAATAATTATCAGAGAACAACAGCTCTTGATTTAAAATAAAATCAATTCAACACTCAAAATTCACGAAAAAGAACTGAACCTAGAAAGGATGACATGTTTTACAGGATTAAAAATACGTTTAAGCAGCACCGAACTGGAATTCGAAAGAAATTATTTGAAGACCTTGCTGTGTTTATTGCCAGTGGCATAGTCTTTTATTCAGAGTTCTTTATAATTCCAGTGGGATAGAGACTACAGGTAAAAAAACCCACGGTTTGAAACGTCATGCTGCTTCACAAGTTGAAAGGCAGAATACTTGAGATATCTAGTCTCTTAGGTGCTTTAATAATTATATTATTATTTTTTGTTCATAAACGGCAATTCTAAGAAATGTCTTTCTGATTATTAGCTCTCTATCAAACTTATTATTGTTCATTTAACAATTTTTTTTGAAGACATACGAAAAAGAAAACCGTTTATTTGCCAATGCCAATGATTATAAGTTACGAAGTGCCTATGTTTCAAAACCATGTACCTCCACATCAGAAAAATATCTAAGTAGTGAGCAGAAATAGGAAAATTGCATAATTGGTTATCATGATGCACACTAGAGGGAGCTACATTAGCTCGAGAAAGTTTAGAGATAGGAAAAACCAAGTTTTGATTTTTTTTTTTTCAATTTTATGATTTTAACTTTTTTTGTATTCTTTAATTTATATATTATATTTTTAAGAACACATAAATACGACACTAAAGCAAAAAGCGGAAAGGAAAGATTTTACAGATGAATAGGCTCATTAGCATATGGCACTAATCATAGCGAAGTAAAGATTAAATTTTCGCTACGAAATATCCAGGGTAGCGGGCATGATGTGATAAAATAGTAAACAGATTGATAAGAATGCAGAGGTGGCCACTTTTCAGTATTACTGGAGTAGGAGAATGGTAGAGCAATGACATGGTTAAGTACTTCCTCCATGCCGTTTATTTGGTAGGAAAATATCTTGAAGATCTTAAAAACTCTTTTCTTAATTCAATGAAATAGAGACCAAAACCATTAAACAATAGTTTGTTTAACAATAGTTCGTCTATAGTTAAATATAAAATGTTTTCGAGAAGCTTATTTTGTCACAATAGTTGTTGGAAGTCCTGAGGATCATCCCAACCGATAAATGCTTTTATTCATTGGTAACCAGAAACTTCTTGGGATACTAAAAATAAAGCATAAAAAAGGTCACATCTCCTCGTTAAGTTTTGCAAACGTTGTTACAAGGTAACGCGATAGAAAAGCTGTACTCAGATTTCAAAAACTCAGTAGCCTCTGATTGAATGAGTCCAGACCTGTGTGCTGTGGAAATGTGTGGTAAGTGTTCTAAACGTGATACTGGACCTTGCCTCTTTCTCGCCTTGGTCTTGGAATTGTGAGGCCCCGTCCGGTTGATCCTCTGGCCCATCGCAACCTGTTTTCTAATTTTTTAAGACATTATTTTTACATCAGTCCTCATTCTAAGGTGTCCATTTTTTTTTTTTTTTAAGTCCAAAGGAGCTTCGTCCCTGAAGTTCGTTTCGCGATTTTGCGTCGATTCTTTACAAACGGCGAATAACTTTTCAAACTGTTGCCACAAAGTATTATCACCCTGTTATATTTAAAGAAATTAAGTAATGAAAAATCTGCATTCTCGCAATATATTTCTCGCATTGTGATGAAACAACGGTACCATCAACGGAGTCATCGGAATTTGAATGACGTAATCCTCCTACGAATATGGGCATGTGAAAGACCCAATTGGAAATTTGGAATTTGTTTTATTATCGATTTCCTATTTTGGAAAACTTTAGCGAATTTGTGATTAACTCAAGGATTTCAAAGCGAGCAATGGAAACGTTGTACTGTAAGGATCCTAAGTTTTACTAACGTTTATTTTATTTTAAATCTTTAACTATCATTCTTATTTTCTACTTCCGGCAGGAAGAAAGCTTTTTGTACTATTTATGCAAATTTGTCTTGCTAACGCAAGTATTAATGTGGCTTTTGCCAGCACGAGCGAGGAAGAGTATTAAAGAGAGGCCGCTGCATAGTATTTTACTCGTGCTGGGTTCCTTCAGGCCAGAGGTTAATCCTCTGATAATATTTAACGTATCGTAGTGTTAGCAGCTCTCTGTACTACATACGGCTTTTTGGTAATTATGGCCAATCTCAAAGAACACTGTATATTAATCCAAAGTTAGTTAGTTCGAGTTAAGTTAAATTTTTTATCTTCGTTCAGACCACAGTGGTTGGTCTCTGTATTCAGAAGTCGGAAACTCTGTAAAGATAAAAATAAAGGGTTTCGTATACCCTTCTGTGTGTATTGTCTACTTCAACAATTTATTGAACATAGCTTTGTAAGCTCTCCTGTTGAGGCAGGACAGTTAATTTCCAATCAAGTAAGGAGGAACACAGAACTGATAGTACAAATAAAACATTTTATCTCCAAACGCGTGAGTCTCGTAATCGGAAATCTAAAGAATGCTATTTGAAAAAGACTCTTTGCGACATTGCTGTTGAACTGAATTTTTATGGTTTAAGTGCGAAGAACGTGATATTAATAATAACTGTCCAACAAAATGTAAAAAAAAACGCCCCTTGACGTAATTTAAAATTGAAACTTCGATTTTTTTTTTTTTTTTTTTTTTTTTTTTTTTTTTTTTTTTTTTTTTTTTTTTTTAACTGGGAAAATATATTATGTTATATTACAATTCATCCATAAAGAAATATCGTATAAGAAAGAATTTTTCCATTCATTTTTTTAATTGGAATTTCGTTACGTTAAATTATATCTCTGTCTGAACTTAAAAAAAGAGTTAAAGGACCTTAACTTAAATTGAAACTTTGTGCTTCATCATTTGTCTTTTTTTCCATTATAAGTAGCCTAAATAAAATTTTCTCAAACATAAGTATTTTTGTTCATGGTTATTCAAAATATGCCTGGTCACAAGGTAAAAATCTGTGTAATATTCTGGGTTTGACAGAAAAGCTCTTTGGTAGTCTGAATTTACCTGACTTAATTATTGATTTCATTAATTCTAAGATTTAAATCTTTGTCAACTATTAATTCCACTGATATTAAGTCCTTTAATTTATAAGCGATTTTATTCATACTGAATTTCATAATTTTGAAATAAATTAAGAAAACAGATTCATTTCTCAAAATAAATATAAAAATTTAAGTTTTATAAAACGATTTTTAAGTGATGATTAATGTTTTATACGAAATTCTAAATTACCTAAATTTTAATTTCCAGTACCATTATCAGTGTACCCGAAATAATTAATAATAACTTAAAAGAACAAATCTAAATTTATAAAAAATGGTATTTATAATTTTTTTGAATTTATGTAAAAAAATTAATTTGTATTAATTTATGAGCGAAAAGATGTAACTTTATTATACCAGAAAACTACTGTTTAAAGCATTTAGTTTGCTTATCGCAACTTAGCGATGATACGTGTTTTTATATTTGTTTATAAAATATATACGACAGTTTCATAAAGACTCGAATTCAGATATCATCGCTCTCGAGAACTTGTTTAGGTACGAAATTTCTTATAATTTAGCAGTGACTTAAAAGTAGGCTGTCTTTTCATCTATACTTTTTAATTTTGCAATTTTCAGTTTACTTTTTTTACGAATGTGTTCATCGAATGAGTTATGGCAAATTGAATTAATCAAATTTGCTTCATAATCTGAAGTTAATGTTGAGAATACCTGTTTTAAAGTTTAAATGAATACAATTTTAAGCATTAAATGTTTACATGCATTGTATAGAGGAAACTAAAACCTTACAATGTATTATATACTTACATTCATTTGGATTTTTTGGTGCGTCTGAAAAAACAAAAAGAAATTTTCTTAATTCAATTTCTGCAATACTGCAAAATACTCTACATTGTTAGAACATTAAGATGATAATTATTTAAGAATTAGTTAAATTAATTATTTATTTAAGAATTAGTTAAATTAGCTTTCTTCCGTTCAGTGGAATCATTTCATTAATGACTGGGAGATCACACTCCAGTGTGAAAATCACATTGTAGGCAAATGTTTCACCTTAACAAATAATATATTAGAATTTATTACAATATAGTGTTCAAAGATAGATGTGCAAGTGTACTATTACTAAAGCGAAAAAAAAGCCTGCATTTCATATTATTCAGTATCATTTTTGTTGACGTAATGCCCAGTGTAGTTGTATTTTTCCAAGCACAGCATGGAATTAAATAAAGGGAATTTTACATCATTTATCGAACAGAAACTGGATAGAACAGTATTTATTCACTGAAATGGGAAAGGCATTGTTCGCTGTAAAATAAATATTTAATGGCATTTAAATGTAGCAACAGAGTCTATAAACATTCAGTGGGTCAAAAAAGCTGAATCAGGCAAAATTATGAATAAAAAATAAAAGTTGTTCAACGTAAAAATTTGTGCAAATAATGATGAAACTATAGATGACTGCAATTTATTGGAGCTAGTCCAATACTGTCACAAGTTGAACTACTTTTATTTATTTTAAACTGAATAAGGTTATTTTCCTCAAGTATTTAAAATCACATAATAATAATGTCTGTTAATAACAAATTTTATTGATGCTAAATGGGAATTAATCATATGTATTCTTTCAAATGTTGCAAAAATTATTCGGCCATAATTGTTCAGTAGGATAGAATCATAAATTCCTCTCTGTCAAAGATGTCAGAATAATGAATGTGTCACCCATAAACGGTAACTGCTTCATAAAGAAAATAAACTTGTGCATTCAAACTGCAGAAGGTTATTTTCCTCAAGTATTCATTACAGGAACTATTCCGCCATAAATGTTCAATTGGATAGAATCATAAATTCATCTCTGTCAAAAATGGTAGCATAATGAATGTGTGACCCGTAAATAGTAACTGCATAAGATTTGCGTAAGGAAAATAACCTTATGCACTTAAGCTGCATTAGGTCATTTTCCTCAAGTATTTGCTACAGGAACTATTCAGCCATAATTATTCAAAAGGATAGAATCACAAGTTTCTCTCTGTCAAAAATGGCAGAATAATAAATGTGCGACCCATAAATGGTAACTGCACAAAGGTTTAAATAAGGAAAATAATGTTATACATTTAAACTGCATAAGGTTTATTTTCCTTAAGTATTTATTACATTACTTTTCGGTCTTCTTTGCCTGCCTGACTTTACACTAGTACCAGAAATTTGTGAATTACTCTGTATATTATGTGGGCGTACACATACATTATTTAAATTGTATTCTGAATCAGCAGTTTTGTAAATTATTTTGCATAACAAATACAGTAAAATGGATAAAAATACCTGTGATCGATATTGCTCTGTGAATTGCCAAGGTCGTGTCTGAACAGCCATCATGTATACCTTGCACACACACACGAAAAGAAGGGACAGTTCTGTATTCCGTTCTACTGGACCGATTGTCGAAATTTAACTTGCGTTCGTTTTCCTTGTCTCGAAAGCGCGACTTAGAATATATATTAGACTTATATAGCATTATTCTAACCTAAGTATTTTGACACAAAATGAATTTTTTTGAAATATCATACCAATAGTTTTCTATATTTCGATTCCACGACTCGAATTATGCCTAGATATTAAAGTTTGTAATTTTTTGTGAGAAATCTATGAAGAAATTTAAAAATTTATCTTGGCGCATTTTTTTCAGTTTGCGCCAAGCATAATTCACTCGGCGAACTTCTTAATTTATAAGCAACCTATTTTCCTTTCCTTTTTATCATTGTATACGAGCGGAAAAAATTTTCATCGTTCATACTTTCAAATAATTTTAACAAAGTGCGTAAACCACATCCACCGTTTTGAAGTTTACGCATATCTTCGAAAATTTTGAATTAAGAAAACCCTCTGATTTTTTGCAGGTATGCATAGAAAGATACTTACTTTAAGATAATGGTAAAAATTTTATAGGTTATAATTTATAATTCAAAACGTTTTTCGAAAAAATTATAAAAATTATTTAAAAAATATAAATTTTAAAAAATAAATCATTAAAAAAAAAATTTCCTTAGAATGACTTATTATCAATTGAAAGAAGAATGAGTCCTTAACAAAAAGAAATATTAAATATATACCAAATTCCTTCATGGAAACTAAAACTTGAGCCAATATTTTTTTTTCATTTTTACACCTGGCAATTTAGCATAATTTGAGTCGTAGAATCGAAATATGAAAAAAATTCGGTATGTTATTTCAGAAAAGTCCAATTTTATGTACAAATTCCTATGTTAGAACAATGCTATTTTTAAACCTAGCATATATTTTAAATCGCGCTTTCGAGACATAGAAAACGCAAGTTAAATTTCGACAATCGTTCCAAGGTATAGAACTTTATTTTTTTTTTTTTTTTTTTTTTTTTTTTGTGCAAGGTGTACATAATGTAGTTTAGATCAAGTCTTCTTTAGGCAGATTTTACCCTAACTCGTTAAAGGGAGTGAATAAAAATTTTATGTTTGGAGGAGGGTTTATGTGTGCTATTTCGTATTAATGAGACTTTAAGATCGTTTTGTAAGCTCTCTTTAAAAACATCTTGTAGCTTTTATACCAGCTTATTATTCTATGTAGCAGATTCATAAGATATCACAATCTTTTCTGCGAGATCGAAATGTACAACATACCGGCAATTACGTTTTCGTTGCCTGGATTTCACATCTACTTCTGAAATTTCAATTTTACGAGTTGTAAACACTTAGTATACCTGTTCAAAGCATTGCCAGTTGATTAATGAATCAAGATTTAAACTTTCAATTCGTTTTCTACAGAACTTTAGTTCAGTTACAGTGGAACTGCAGATATCTGGAATTCTAATTAACCGGATCGCATGTTCTTGTTTCGAGGCTAGGTATAATTAAGTTTCTTGTTATGTTATCTATGAGATTTTAACGTTTCCGTTCATTTAGTTCTGTGTATAAATACGACAGCACAAAGCACTAACATTTTAAGAAGATTTTAAATTAATTTACATGAATGTATGAGTATGTTTATAGAGCGTCTGTTTGTTTAATCCAAGACACATTTTTAAAGCATACGAAGGTCTCTTTTGCAACTCTTTCTACGTAATAATACTCAACATACAGTGGTGGCCAAAATTGTGGACACTTTTGGAAATTTTTATGTTTTTGAACTTTGTATGCTTATAGAAAACGTAACGTTTCACATAATGCAAACTTGTATAGATCATTTTAAAGAGAATTTATTACTGAATTCAATACAAAACTCAAAATTCAATTATTTGCAATACAAAAAAAGTTAAACGATAATACTTATCGATATACATTAGATAGTGATGATTGCAGTGAGTTATCAGTACTTAGTAGGGTACCCTTTATTTGATTACCAGTCTTCCACATCGACGTTTCATTGAGCTGACAAGAGTTTTAAGCTCTTCTTTCGTTATTACATGATGCCAGGAAACAATTTAGCCTCAATTAGTTCCCTTTACTTTGATGGGCGCCTCATTCGGACAAGAGTTTTCGAACGGTGCCACAAATTTCGATAGGATGAGGTCAGGACTGTTTCCTGGCCATGACAACAATTAATGCTCTTGTACGAAACCACTCTTCGATATTTGGCCGTGTGGCAAGGAGCAGAATCATGCGAAAAAAACGAAGCATTGTTGGGAAGAGATCTCTGATGGAATAGAAGTTTTGGTTCTAGAATAGTGTCAATGTATTTTCTGGCATTCAGTGTCCATCCATGACATGAAGGCGACCAATACATCTGCTGACATGCATGACCAAATCATAACACTAACTGGGTTCTCACAGTTGCTTGAATGCAGTCAGGATGTAGCTCTTCTCCTATTCTACATCTTACATATTTTCGCCCATCACTACCGAATAATGATATCTTAGTTTTATCACTCCATATAACTTGTGACCACTGATCATCTGTCCAATTAATGTGTTCCTTTGCCCACTGTAGCTTTTTTTTTTTCGTTGCTGAAAATTAAGATAAGGCTTTTTTCGTGGAATTCTACCTCTCAGTGCAACATCTGTTAATCTTCTCCTGATTGTTCTTGATCTGACAGAAACGCCAGCATCATTCAGATCACTTCTGATGGCCGCTGATGACATTTTTCTATTTTGGAGACATAGTCTTTTTATTCCTCTGTAATCAATAGATGTGGCGCACCTTTTTGGGCCTTTTCCTTCTTTGATTTTTATTGAATTTGTCTCCTGATATCGTAAACAAATCTTTCGCACTCCAGATGTAGTCACTGAACCACCCACCTGTCTTGCAATTTCAGCATAGGAAAGACCACTTTCTCGTAACACAATATTACATCTCTTTCTAGGTGTCCAATCTACTCTTTTATTTGATGTCATTGCTTCTTGACTAAATATTAAAAATTTTTACAAAAATTCCTACTTGTAATTGCAGTGTATAAGAAACAGGTCCTCCTTCTACAGTACAAAGCAAAACAATGAATTGTTTCAAGTGTAAACATGAGGTCAGCTTCTACTGGCAGTTACTAACATTTGATTGGTTCTCAGAACAAGAACAGTGATTGGCTAGGAAGGCTAGACATTACAAACCACTTCATAACTGTGTTTTTTATTTATATTAAGTACGTATTGCAAATAATTGAATTTTGTGTTTTGTATTGAATTCAGTAATAAATTCTCTTTAAAATGATATATACAAGTTTGTATTTTACGAAACGTAACATTTTCTATAAGCATACAAAGTTCAAAAACATAAACATTTCCAAAAGTGTCCACTATTTTGGCCACCACTGTAAACGGCAGTTAATTATTTTCGATTAACCATCTGGTGTCCGTTTCTTTGTACAATATTTTTCATTCTTGTTGTTATAAATTATAATGTTTTTAAATTGTATTATGGGTGAATCAAAATATAAAATTATTTCATTTGCATTAGAGTGAATGCACTTTGATTGCAGAAAAATACAATTCAGTTATCCGAATAAGCTGTGGTCCCAGCTATCCGGAGAGGTCTGCTTACAGAAGCCCTGTAAAGCGACATATATTTAATGAATTAAAAAGAGTTCTGATTCCCATCGTGAGTTATTCTGTTATCTTGAGGCGTCCTGATTTATCGTGCTATCATTAAAAATATCCATTTACAGATCTTCCAATGAGTTTGAAATTACTTACCTCTTAGTTTCACCCTCTTGGGTATTTCTGGAGGCGTGAAAGTTGGGAATGTAGAGTTGTGAACACTCTCATCTAAAGCAAACAGAGCAAAATATTAGTAGGCACATAATAATGGAGGCGTTCCAAGGACACACAGAGCGCCATGAGAAAAAGACATCGAAGCACACACCGAATAAGCAGAGAAGCAGCCAGGGGGACACAAACATTCTTTCCGGGAAAATTATATCCATGACAGCATTACATTAGCCAATAAAAATGCCGGCCGTGCAAGCAAACACAGAAAGCATTTTCTGTAGGTAAGAGCTAAATACGAACGACACCAAGATGACTAAAGTAGAGGGATGTAAAAATATCCTTCGAGAGGGTAATAATAAATATTCCAAAATAAAAATAAAAATAGCAAAATAAGAAGAAACATTCAGTTAAAGAAACAGCAAACGCGCAAAATGCTTTATCAGAATCATAGTTGTTTATCCAAACGCGTATGATTACGTATCTTTATTTTCATACTTTGTGCAAAGCCTTACCTATCGAAGTAGAAATCAAAACATTATTTTGTACGTTGATCTCAAACAGTGATTCAGTTTTTATGTAATTTCAGTGAGGTATTATTTTGTTGATTTTTAGTTATTGTTGCTTAACCCTTTGTTGCATACAAATAATTTAGAGAAGTTAAACGAAAATGTTTATATTTTTTTCTACTTAAAATAACCTTAGTAATAATAAAAAAAATAATTTTATTCAAATTTCGTTTTAAATGATTGCTACAGTTGGTTCACTACAGTGGACGGTATGCATATACGTACATGCATACAAATCTCTTCCCCACGATTGACGGTCATTGTATTTGAAATCATTACCTGCCTTGTTTGCAGCGATCATTACCATCTTCTAAATGGTAAATCTACAACTGACTTGTGCATACAGATCCCCCCACAATACCTTCATTTCGTCGATTGGGATTGAATTCATTTTGTCACGATTTTGTAACCTGTACCTATTGGATTCAAATGTCAAATGTTCTAGAAATTCCTTGCCAAACATAAACATTTCCAGTGGTGTTTTCGCTGGATAGCAGTCCATTTTGGTTTAAATTAACTCTTTTCGGTAGATCGTTATCTACCCACTCAACAATTTTCTCAAACTGACATTTAAAATAAAATGTCTAAAATGACTAATTATGAATAAAAAATGGCATTATAAGAAAATGTAAGCCATATTATATAATGTTTACTATGAGAAATAGTACTAACTTGGAAACAGAAGTATCAGCCATTTTCCAAATAGGCAATGCTTCACTTAGTGATGCTATACAGGCATTTATGATCGACAGTGGAAAGTTCTAGTAATATTAGAATGAATAAACACAGGAATGGAATCTGTTACGGCATTTACAGAAGAATAAACAAATTTAAACTTTTGTCTACTAGAGTGGACATGATGCAACAAAGGGTTAATACTAGTCATTTAGAAGGTTCTCAGATTTATCTTATTTTTCCAAGCAGTTAACCATCAAACAGCACATGCTGTAAATAACTAAAATACTAAATAAAAAGTATTTGAGAGAATTTCTTTTTTGTGTTCGACTGTATTCGTTTTGGATGCTGGTAGAATTTAAAAGAAAGGAATTGACAGATTTTAATTTATGCAAGGTGATTTCTGTTTAATTCAGATTTACTTATCAAGAATTTTAATGGAGAAATTTTGCGTCCCTACAGATGGCAGATTCAGAGGTGAAATTTTAACTATATTTAACAAACACTGAAGTGTTTGATTTGCCCGAAAGCCGTAGCGCCTCTGCGTGTTTTTTTTTTTTTTTTTTTTTTTTTTTTTTTTTTTTTTTTAAGTTTTGTAATCCACGTGACCATCTAGTTTTGCAAACTCATGCTAATGTTAAACGTTTGTATGACGAAATAACTTATAGTAAGAAAGCAGTAAAAAATTTAAATATCGTACGTGATTAGCTTGGCTCCCTATAAAGTATATACAGGAAATGCGAATTTGTCCAAAATAAAGGAAATTTAAAATAACGAACTAGCTGCATGTATCCTTTACATTATGCACGTTGCATTATGATTTTGTTCTAGATGAGCATCATTCATACAAATTAAAACTATGAATTGTTTTACTTGAGTTAAATAACATGCAGTTTTTGTTTACATATATTTTGATCTTATGCAGTCATGTTTTATTATACACTAAAGAGCTTGTAGAATCCGAAGTCAGTTTTTTCAAAATAAACTTTTTTAGTGACTTAAAATGTTCTTCTGTGGCATTTAACCTATTTTGTGGATCCTCAAAATTATTATTAACTTCAATATTCATTGCATTTAATTAGAATTAAAAAGATTACTAACTCTTCATAAAAGTCAGACTTAATTGTTAAATTCACGATACAAAATTTTTAAGTCTCGAGATTTGCATCGATGCCTTAGAGTAGGGTATGGCTTTTACGAATGAACGAGGAAAAAAGGCAAAGAATTTCCAAACAAGAACGAAAATGAACAGTATTCAGATTGCAACATAAATAGGATTTTGTTTCCTACCGCTTTCTCCACTTTTCCACATCAAATTTAATTACTTTGCATTGTGGCTTAACATTCTTCTGTTTTAATGTGCTTTCTTTAGCAGTAAATTCCATTGTGTTTACCGTTACATTCTTCAGATATGCTTTTAATGTATTTCACTGAACTTTGCGTTTTGAAAGCAAATAGCTTCACATTAGCATAATAATTCGCTGAAACGAATCAGAAATTACGTAATAATAAATGTAAATAGCAAAGTCAAAAAGATATAATATAATCAATATTCTTTTAACGTTTTCATTTTTGAGCTTATAATGAAATTCTCCCTCAAATATAATCGATAACATTTTTAAAAATATTTTCTCTTAATTTTCTGATGTTGAATCGTCTAACACATTTTATATTTCAGAATTTATACTTTAAAGTTCAGACGATTAATCATAAACTGTAATGAAAGAATATCCAGAAAATCTGCTTCCAAAACGCATTTCGGATTTCAGTGATGGTTCTCTGAGTTCAAGGCATTCATAAATAATCATTTTTTTTATTGAAATTACAATGGACCTGTGATGTTTAATACGGATGCTTCTGAATTTCGCTTGAGAGCACTGGATAAGAACGTTGGTATATTGGTATATTTAATTATGGCAAAGCACACGAGGGCTATCTGCCTAAAGGGAGGGATGCCTTTCGTGGAGGACTTTCTAAGGGAAACTGGCTCGTATACACGTTACATGGGAAAAACCACGAAAACGCCCATGCAGCCAGCCCGTTCGCGGGATTCGAACCTCAGACCGAACTACCAGTGTTCAGCGTCTTTACCGCTCGGCCGCTGGTGGGCCTGGATAAGAACGAAAGAATAATGAATTGTATTAACTTTAAAACTGTGTAATAAATGTTTATGTTCTAACAGAATGTTGATTTTAAAAATTAAATATTAGAATCTAATAGATTAGATGATACAGTTACAAAAGAAAACACACTTATGAAACAAATTTTTTGTTTTTGAAACGAGCAAGAAAATTCAAAATAACAATGCTTTGAGTCCTTTAAGTACGCTATTTCCGTATAATGAAAGCATTAAACCAATTTTAGGAGCTCGAAGTCGTAATTCAAAAACCAGTTATTTGCTTTAAACTGCAGTTATGTCTGAAAAGTGTTTAGAAATTCTTTAGACTTAAGTTTTCAGTAAGCGCTAGAATCCTATTCGTTGGAAATAAAGGCCATAAATACAAAAGCAGTTTGTTGTTAATCGATGATGCCTAAGATCGTTTACTTATTTTTGACATTAAAAAACACGTTGCTCATTACAATAAGCAAATAAATCATTTAAACTCTTTAGTCGAAGCGATACTATGCTACATTTAATTACAGAAAACAATCTCACATATGAACTATGCTGATTCTTGAAGTTCAGCAAAATTAATTGCTTCATACTATATATGTGTATTTTTTATATTATAAAGGTGTTTTATTAGCCCAAAGGTGCAATTTGTCCAGAATGGCTATTAATTTCCTCTTGGTATTTTGCTTGATTCACTATAAACGGCGAATCACTTTTTAAATTGTTGCCACCAAATATTATACCCCTGTATAATACAGGGGTCATCCTTCTCCTGATTTTTTTTAAGTGAAAATATATCGATGTGTACATGGACAAAGTCAAGGGAGTGCGCAATTCTCTGATGTTTTTTGAAGTGAAAATCGTAGATCGATGTGCACATGGACACCAGGTTTGTGCAATTCTTTGACTTGTTATTTTGGTTTTGTGTAGCGGCCATTTTGAAATTGTGCCTTGCTTGCCAATCCCCCAAAATCGCCAATTTTTGCCAAGGGGCACTCTTAAATATATTTTTACCCAACAATCTTGTAACTAAAAGATATGTGATGTTTGCCAGTCTATGTATGCCAAACTGCAGAACTGTAGGCCATTTTATTCGTCTAATTCTGGGGATTGCGGACGATTGAGAAATGCCATACTTCCCACTTGTTTCGTTTTCATTCTTCATCACCCTGAAAATTTCGTATTTTTGTGGCGATTGTGGTCGGGAAATTCGATAACATTCCGAGTGAGGTCTTTTTGGAAGATATAAAATGATTAACAATATGCGATGGGCAATGTAATCCTCCACTTTGTAAAATATTTGAACACCTTTTTTGGTTCACATGGCAAAGTTGCATGTTTGGTCCTATTAGATTGAGTTCCATCATTTGAGAAGTAAAAGCCACGGAGAAGATTTAGGACACATTAGATATTCACACATTTGATATTCAAAAACCAACGGTGGGCTTTCACTTTGTTATTAGTGTTAGTGTATCTACTGGATGTTCCCAAAAAAGATAAGAAAAATTCCTATCGCATTACCTTTCATTAAGATGAAGCACTACAATATTTTGCAACGGTTATGCAAGTTTAGTTTAACATCAACTTTTTAAGAGGGTGTATTGTCTAACATAGATTCATTTCTTAGCTCCAAACAGCTTAGACCTTAAGATGCAACAACACGCCGAACAAATATTAATTTCAAAGTCAAACAACAAACGTTAGAAAAAAGGAACCACAGAAGTCTTCTGTTGCCCAACATTGTTGGTCCGAAAATCACACTTTCAATTTTTCTGCTGCCAAAATTATTCAAAATAACATCTTGCCCAACATTGTTGGTCCGAAAATCACACTTTCAATTTTTCTGCTGCCAAAATTATTCAAAATAACATCTTCCATTTGTGAATTGTATTTTCTAGAGTCATTTCACATTCAAAAATTTTTTTCTGTTCTAGTTAACGACCCTAATTCCAATACATCTTTGCCTTCAGCCTTTAAAGAGATGATGTTTTAGTTCTGGTTTCATGAACAGATGGCGCCAGTGGCTTATCTTCTGTCCAGGCTTTCTTATCTTATCTAATCATTATATCTTATCTCGTTCATTTGCGCTTTTTCAGCTGACGATGATGGTTCGGTAAAACCATCGAAACTAGTGCTTTGAAAATATAACGCTGATTTTTGTTGTTTGACTTTTAAATTAATAAGCTTAGACCTTATTTATTATATTTTATTAGTTCTTTTTAGGTCGCTTAAAAACATATAACTTTAGAGATAAATTTAGGATCTTGTCCATCTGACGGAAAGAGTCACAGCAGCAAATTCAGGTATCAACTCCAGCATTCTTTCTCACGTGTAGATCAACTTTTTCAATACATGTCTGAAGTTGATTGCGCACACATCGAAACATTACAAGTTTTCAGAAGGAGTAGCATCTATTTATTTCAATAAAAATATTTTAACGTTAATTGCTACATAAATTAACATCGAGTTCTGTCATTAAAATTGTCGCACTCCCTGTATTTTCCTTATAACAATATTAAGTTCATAACTTTTTGTAACAATATTTAAGAATGATAATTTTGAACTGTGGAGAGATAATTTATGTCAAAAAAGCGAAGTGCAACATTTCAAACAAATGCTACAATCTGAGTTTACATAAAATCCTACCCATCTAGAAAATGAAAACTAAGAACTAAAATTGGTGTGCGAAAAGTCATACCCTACTTAATTCACGAAGGAAAAATAATTAAAAAACAACTTACCGAGCCATTCATAATAATAATAAAGTCTTGAAATATGTGTAATTTATTGTACCAAATTTGAGACCATGTTTGCATTTTGTAATCTGTCTTGAACACAAAGTAAACTATGCGATACTTCTTAAAAAATTTAGGCAGAGATTGAATAGAAGTAGGGAGAAAGTAGTTGTTCTCTATTTGCAACGTGAGTTATGGGAAAGAATAGTTTAATATCAATTTGTAAATCAAAAATTGTGATTCGCGCAGAAGTGCAGAGAAAACATACAAACTGGCGTGCACACGGCAAGCAAATGTAAGCTATTTCGAATTGAACCTACTATGGTCCGAATCGGATACTTCAGCCTCAATATCAACTGCACTTCCAGTTCTTGAGATAAAAAATTCTGTGGAGATTCATATTCTATCTGTTAGTTTTATATGTAATTTTTTATTATTTCTATAACATATATATCTAGAAACATCTAAAATAAATCTAAAATTTAAATAATTTCAAAATATTATTTCAGTTGCAAAAATACAGAGAAAAAGAGATTTAAGAGCGTAACAGGCTTAAAAATTTCGTAAAATAATAAAGCATTAGTAAAGCAGAAAAACGCGTGCTGCAATTCTGATAGAAAAAAAAGACGAAAAACAGAACAGATCTAAAGCGTGAAATATTATAAAAAGTTCTAAAGCATAATGATTTCGAACAGTATGAATTAAGAGTTTAATATTATAGTGCATGTTAGATATTGTTAATATACATATTTTCAAAGTATTGCTTAAAACTATTAAGAAATATTGATTTACATTTAGGTTAATCGAGTGACACCTAAAACATAACCATTCTTTAAACTACAACAATTTGTAAAAGATTTCATTTTGCGAAAAGTTATTTAAAAGTATCCTCCAATTACATCTTATCTAAATTATAATTATTACATAGTATTATAAATTATCCTAATAGAACATGCAAAGATTAGTTTAACATAATGATTAATGTGCTGGTTGTTGGGGACTACGATGCAGGGAGGAATCGGTATTCAAATCGTCACTGCATTCACACTCACAACAACATTTAAACCAACATGCATTAAACTAAACGATGAAGGACGAATTCTTAATTTCGCGTGAAAAAATTTCCATCCTTTTGGTGGAGGTTAACTATTAAATCTTTTATAATAAGACATGGATATGAAATACAACAGCCAAGCATTAAAAAAACTAACTACCTATGAAACATTATTATAAAGTGTGTGAAAGCATGCGACATCAACCAACTAATAAAGTCCACAGTGGTGGCTCTGATTCATAACATTTTCACTTATTAGGATATTGCATCCAGTTTTTTTTTTAAACAAATCCGTAGATTTTGTCCCATTTTATATTTTGAAAACTTTCCGAAGCGTCCTTTCGAGATAATTGAAATTTTTCCAGCGATATCAACAGCTATACTTTTATTACTAGTGACAAAAACCGATATTTTTTTCGTTCGTATCACTTAACGGGTTTGTTGATTTAGACATGATAATATAACTTCTTATTAGATTAATAAATATTTGTAGTTATCTTTTTTACTGAAGCAGTTATCTAAAACAGGAGTTCTGCGACATTACACTAGTCATTTAAAAAGTGTTGCAGTACTGCATGACATTCATTCACATCTTTAGTGACATGACATTCGTGCCACTTTATTATGTTTCATTCACGTCACTCTTCTCTATGACGTTATATCGAAGTCGCCATGTGACGTTACATGAATGTCGCAGTGTGACCTCACAGCAATGTCACAGTGTAGCTTCAGAACAATGTAGCAGCATGACTACGCATTAACGTCACAATGTGACTTCACATTAACGTCACAATTCGACATCACATAAACGTTGCAGTGTGACATCATACAAACATCACAGTGTGACGTAAAGAAAAGCGGGCATTAAGCTATGCCTACAACATCATTGAGATCGTCACATTGCGACGCATTTGCAATGTCACAGCAACGTCGTTGTACTGTTGTGATACATATATATAAAGATTAATTTTAATTTATCAGAAACGTTGATTTAGACATGATAATATAACTTATAACGAATGTCATGTCACTAAAGATGTGAATGAATGTCATGCAGTACTGCAACACTTTTTAAATGACTAGTGTAATGTCGCAGAACTCCTGTTTTAGATAACTGCTTCAGTAAAAAAGATAACTACAAATATTTATTAATCTAATAAGAAGATAACTACAAATATTTATTAATCTAATAAGAAGTTATATTATCATGTCGTTGTACTGTTGTGATACATATATATAAAGATTAATTTTAATTTATCTTTATTCGTATAAAGCAAATTTAAAGATAATTAAAAATTAAATTTAAATCATGAAATTTTAATGAGGTACTGCAACAACAAAGTTAAAACGTTAGCGAATGTCAAAACGTTAAGTTAAAAAATTTTTACCAAAATCATCCACTTTGCAAATGCAAGATAAGTTTAATACAGAGAAACAAATAAAAAAAAGAATTCATCTGAATTTTTATAATTAAATAATGCTTGTTAAAATTAGAATGAAATTAAGAAAAATCCATATATATAATTTACATGAAAATAATTACCTTATTATTCGCGAATTAGTTTGCATCATAAACATAAGCATATTTTGAGTTTTTTTTTTTTTTTATTTTTCTTTTGGGAACGAGGTAGAAATGAGCATAGTTTTAGCTCCATATAAATGTTTGAAGAGGAAACAAATTCTACCGATAACGCCAAATTTTAGTAATTTAGATTACAGTATTATTGTTGTTAGCCGGCTTCGAGACGCTGTGATTTCATTTACCAGAAATTCACTTCTTTACAAATTAAGAAAGTATTTTTTTTTAATAATGATATTTCTTCTACATCGTTTGATGAGCATACGCTTTTACTTTTATTATTAAATCTAAGTTTGAAAGTCGCTCCAGTTTAAAAAGAGCCACCACTGGGGGTAGATTTCGATAACCATCCAATACAACAATAACAACATCAACAACATCAAGAACAGCTGAAGTGCCGAGAAAAAAAAAAAAGACTTAAAAGAGAAGAACGTACTTGCCCGTCCAACAACTTGGACAGCTCTGACACCTTTCTTAAACAGCGCCACTGTAGCGAAAATAACACAGTAACAGTTTCCATTAACAAAGAAGAAAAAAAGAAGTTTTGTGTTTTAAAAGGCTTACCATCATTAATTGAATAGAGAATCACAATGTAGACGGAAGGTTTTCAACAAATTAATAGCTATTTCTCATTGTGTACTTCAATTTTTCTGTAGAAAAGAATGCTTTTTCATTGAGAATTTGTTTTTAAAAATTTATTCAATATTTGTATTTTTGATACAATACTTGCATTTTGGAGGGGCGGTACAAATACTTAACTATTATTCTTCCTCTTTCAGAAACCTGCTTTGAAACAGGTTCACATATTTATTTCTTGATTGCAAATTTTAGTGTTAAAATTTCTTTTAAATGAATGTAATTAATTTTCCAATTAATGCAGTTGCGATCCCCTTTTCATATATTAAATTCGCGCATAGGAATTTCATAATCAGTTGTTAGACAGAATCAATGAGTGAAATAGGATGAAATGTAAAAGGTGCTCTAATTGCGGTTACAGCCGAAAACATCGCGGCAAAAACATACCGCACGAAAATGCGGAGAAAACAAAGCAAGGCGAAAACGTCATGGTGGGAAAAAAGAAAGCAGAGTGAAAAGGCCGCAATTCTAAAACACCGTGGTACAAAATATCGTTGTCGAAAATGAAGCGATTCAAAAACTTCGCAGTTTAAAAACATCGTTGTAGAAAATGTGGTAAAAATTAAAGCACCTACAAATCATCGCACATATGCGTTTTTCAGGTTTTAAAAGTTGTAAATGCGTATTTGCATAAAGATTTGAAAGTGTAAGAAATGTTAACAACACTTTAAGAATAAACGGAAACAAAACAATATAATTATCACCAAAACAATATCAGATTAACAAACGTGAAAGAAAGTAATCTGATAATTAACTAAGCAATTTTTATGGAGGTTACCGCATGCAGTTACTCATCTTCCTTTTTCAAACATTTTTAGGCTGTATTTTTCACGAAAAATTATGAGTAAAACTTTATAAAAATATTTATTTATTAATGACCTTGTTAATTAACTATGTTAATTAAAAATTATATTAAGTGCTATAAGTTGCATTAATTTTCTACTGATTTTCAATTTTTAAATGCTTAAGTTTCTTCTTACTTTTTCAGCAAAAATTTATTACTTCATTAAAAAATATTAAATATTCTTGAATATGAAGTTAAAATATCTCTCTTTCTTTTTTGCGCTCCCAAATCATTATGCTAAAATGTATTTATAGCTTTTAATACTCGAAAAACGCATGTGTGCGATGTTATCGTCATGCGATGATTTGTAGGTACTTCATTTTTTACCACGATATTTCCTACGAAGTTGTTTTTAAACTGCGAGGTTTTCGAACGGCTTTATTTTGGGTGACGATAATTCGTATCACGATGTTTTTTAGAGCTGCGATGTTTTCTCTTTGCTTTCTTTTCTCCCACGATATTTTGTACCACGAACTTTTCATCTTGCGTTGTTTTCTCCGCGACGTTTTCGTCCGCGATGTTTTCGGTGGACGACCTAATTAAAATTCATTGTATGTAAGTTCACTAAAATGTGTTTTAAGAATGCATATTAAACCGTTTGCTCATAAAATTAGATTGTTGAATGCCATACATTTTACATTCTTAAAACGCGAGGCTAACTACTTTCTAATGCGTAAATCATGTCTGAAAAAATTGAGTGTTTAAACATAACAACTCCTGTGTTTCTCAGGAGATAGATTCAATTCAAATCCCCCCCATCCCTTTGCAATAACCACGTGACTGCAGTTTAGTCTCAGCTAACTAAGGAACAACCTAGTAACATCCATCACCACCGAATGTCATGTAACTTCACAGAGGTATCAATCTCTAGCTGGCTAGTGTGTTGGTGCAATACATATTCCATTCTCTTTGTGAAGTCTCTAATGTCCGATGAACTTTTAGCTGTTTACCTGTTAACAGATTTCTTACATCTGTTAAGAATAATGACTTTAAACACTTTATTTCTTCATTTTTTGTTCATTTATAGGGCTTTTAGTAGATTTCAATTTTAAATTAAGATATGTTAAACTGGTTAGACAAAACGTAAACTGGTTTATATAAAACACTTTAGATATCTGTAGATAAAAGTAAATATTTTTATCAGAGGTCATTTAACAGAGGAAATTTTCGTCTTGGAGAATTTTCTCAAATTTGTTGAATACTTTCCGTTTACTGACACAAGAAAACAATGGAATCCTTGAAATTCCTTTTGAAAATGATAAGTGATGACATTTGACGATCTTGATGAACTCAAATATTTACATACACACTCACTGACATTGCACACAAACATGTGTTCGGGGTTTCTTTTTTTTTTGTGTTTATTATTTATTTATTTATTTTTTTAATATTAGGGAACTTTAACGCAAAGAAAATATTTTAGCACTACAGGGCCAAATCTATCTACTTAAAATAATGCATAAGTGACATAAGTCGTAATCTAAAATTGAAATTTGGTGCCTTAAGAGGGAAATAATAGCAAATACTATAAACTAGTAATAAATATTAGAATTATTCCCCAACAATACAGCCAAATTCTATCTACAACTGAATGCACGTGCTTAGTTTAAACCTAATGCACTAAACTGGCTTTTGACGGTGTTTTTCGACTTCGACAGAATAATTATAGTAAACACAAAATAGAAATAAATAAGAAAAAGCACTATGGCTATTTTGAAACTTGTTACGTTATTGGTAAAAGTTAAGAATTAGCACCTATATTAGTCAGCCAAAGCAAAGATTAAAAAAAGCGTTTAGCAAGTTTCAACCAAAACACTAAAAGGCCAAGTTCAAAGCCACAAAAGAAACTTATAAAAAGCTCAATTACCTTTCTGTTTGGAATCTTTGGCTGCATGTGGGCATAATATGAATGAAAATTATTTAGTCAGTGAGAAAGGTGGTAGTCAAATACATTAAAAAAAGAGAGGAACTTCCACTTGACCAAAAATACAGCACGGAAAGATTAATCGCATTTTGGAGTGTAATTTTAAAGTACAATTTATTTCAACATTTTCAGTGCACTAATGAATAATCATCGAGTTGCATGGATATTCAGTACAGTGAAAGCTTATTTAACCCCTTGGGTACATTTGACGTCTGAGAAACGTCATTCACTTTTTCCCCCTAGGAACGGATGACGTGTCTAAGACGTCAAACCAAAAATTAAACTCTTGGGTACATTAGACGTATGAGAGACGACATTCACTTGTTTTTCCTAGGAGCAGATGACATGTCTAAAACGTTATTCGAGGTTATGCACAATTCTGTTCATTTCATTGTAGCTTGTATCAGTCATAATAGAAGAGGCAATTACTGTATTTCGGTGAACATTATTTGCGATACACTGCCCCATTATATCAAAAACTAGAAATATATTTTATGATAGTGATAGCGAAAGTGACTTTGAGAAATCTAAAGAAGGATTGTTTAGTGATCCTGAAATTGACAATTACAATGAAATACAAAGCGAAGGTGATGAAGACGTTATTGAACTAGAAAATGATGACAATTGTAATATAAAACCAACGTTTCGAAAGATGCACAAGACGTCTATTGAGCAGTGATAGTGAATCTTCTCGTGAACCAGAAAATGATGACAATTCTAATATAAAACCAACGTTTCGAAGACGCACAAGACGTCTATCGAGCAGTGATAGTGAATCTTTTCGTGATCCAGTGTCAGAGGAATGGAATTGGGAAGAAGAAGAAAATGTAGCCGATATAAAACGTTTTTCTGAAATATCTGGAATTAATCCTTTGAGTCTGCGTAGACTAAGTAGTAATCCTACGCCTTTACATGTTTTGAGAGAAGTCTCGAATGAAGATTTTTGGGACACTATAGTAGAGAGACGAATGGATATACCAGACAAGGGATAGAAAAAGAAGGTTGTATAAAAAAAAAAGGTGGTTTCCTGCAATTTCTGATGAAATGAAAGCTTATATTGCATTATGCATCTTGATTTCGCAAATGAAGAAGCCAAAAATGCATATGTATTGGTCAAAAAGATATGCATTAAGTACTCCAATTTTTGCCAGCACGATGCCATGCAATAGGTTTTTTGATATATCAAGCTTTCTACATTTTATGGATAATTAAAAGGAAAATAAACATGACAGATTAAGAAAGATTAGATATATAGTGAGTTACCTAAATAATAAATTTTGTTACCATTATACTCCTGATAGTGAAGCAGCTATTGATGAATCGCAACCAAAAATTATATCCGTTCTACATGCAAATATTTTCTCAAATAAATCCGTACCCAAGCGGTTAATCTGATGGCGCAAAAGTGTTCAACATTCGAGATTTCAACGCTTTTTTTTTTCAGATTCTCTTCAAGTACATATCAGAAATTTAATTTTCGATAGATGTTTTAAAGCAAATAATATAGACTGCTGTTATCGCACTGATAGTACGAATAGGATCTATAACATAAATAGAATGAATTTACGGATGGTCCGCTAAAATTTCTAACAGAAGACGCTATCAAATATTTCCAGTTATCTTCGCCTATGAAAGACCAATATTCTTCCAAATGGATTGTAGAGTCGTTAGGATTTTTATTGTTGGAGACGTGGAAAATATGTAGTGTTCTAGCCGGGAGTCAAACCCTGGATCTCTCGAATACGCGTCGAGTATGCTAGCAGTCACACCATAAAGGCATGTGGAAAGGAGGGAGAAAAAAACTTTGTATACTATTTTCTCTTTTAAAGGGCGACTTGGAATTGGGAGCCCAGCTGCCAAATCCTGGTGGTGACAAATTATCTTTCACCACCTTTCAGTTCGTGGCACTTTTAGTTCGAATCATTAGGTTATTTTGAAACAGGAGACGTAAAAATGTAGAATGCCCTCCTAGGGACTCGAATCCTGGACCTCTCGAATACGCGTTGACTATGCTTCTAGTTACAATACGAAGGATGCGGAAAAGAAGGAGAAAATTACATATAGGATAAACTCAATTTCGTTTTTTCTGCTTGATGCACTGATGGAACGGGGAATGTCCAAATGGCATTTCCTCTTAACCCCATGTAATGAGAAGCATTTACATTATCACGCTGCTGATTGCAGTATATATTCATTTGTATAAATCATTTTGATTTTGCATTTGTCTAGGATAATGTTAAGCATCATCAAGTGTAAATATCACTGACAAAGAGAAGGACGCTCTGTCTAGCTGTAATTTTTTCCTTCTGTCAATTATTGATGATATGAAGGCATTTTTAGCAAACTGAAAAATGTCGCAGGAAAACGTTTCCTTTAGGTCATTGTGATAAAAAATGTTGCTGGCAAAGTGAACAAAAATATCATCTTATAGGAAAATCGGTTTCTGATAATTATTGACAAAGGAGGGCATCCATGGAAAGTTACAGGAATTCCTGTAATTGTTGTAAAATTGTTTCTTCAAACGATTAAGCATAGCGTATTATTGTAACTTATTCAGATAAATTAATCCAGTTACTTGGTGTCTACCAAAGCAGAAATAAGCTTTCATATGTACTACATTTATGAATTTCCAAGCCGTTCTTTATATTGAAGCAAATTTTCCGCCATCCGAATGAAATGTTGTATACATCACGAATTTAAATTTTATTGTTTGTTCAAACGAAAATCCTGCATTATATTGGGTCATATAAAAAGCCTCCGCGGTTTTTTGCCACTAGATGGTGTTGATGCCTATATATCCGGCAACATTCACCAGACTATCTCAAAGGAACATCTGCTGAAAAAGTGGCATTCAGCTTCCATTGTGTATGAAGATAGTTTTTTAAATTCGTTGCTCGTGCTAAAGTTATATTGATTTGAAAATGAGTTAAATATCTGAAGAAATACGCTATGTGATGCTTTTTTTATGTAAAAAAGCTGAAAAAGCATGCCGAAACATTTGCAAAGTGTACGATGAGAATGCTGTGAGTGAACAAAGGACCCAGGAGTGGTTTGCTCGATTGCCTTTCGGAAATTTCGGATGTTAAAGATGCACCTCACTTTGGTCGGCCAGTCACTGAAAAAGTCCATGAAATTTTGCAACTGGTAGACCAAGACCGGCACGCAAGCTGTCAGGAAATAACGAAGCAAGCCAGAAAGAGCGACCAAAGAAATGGCCAACTGAAGTTGTGTTGTGTTCTATCATGACAATGCGCGACCACACACATATTTGATGACTGGGAATATATTGATGGAACTTGGTTGGGAAGTTTTGAAGCATCCACCATATAGCCTGGATCTTGCAACGTCTGACTACCATATGTTTCGGCCTCTGCAAAATTCTCTTGATCGTAAAAAATTGGCCGACCGAAGCACCGCTGAAAATCACTTGGCAAAGTTTCTAGAGACATTAGGATTTTTTGAAAGCAGGCAAGATGGAAAATGAGTAATCGCCTTCACCGGGAACCGAAGCACGGAATACTGGCCCAGCGTGCAGAACCACTATACCACTAAGGCACGCTAGGAAAGTGGGAGAAATACCTTATCTTCTTTCTAAAGGGCGACTGGGGTTTTTAGGGGACCCATTCGCCAAATCCTTGGGTGTGAAGAGTCAACATCCACAAACCCTTTTTTTAGTTCGGGCGCCACTGTAGAGACATTAGGTTTATTTGGAAGCAGGCAAGAGGAAAAATTAGCAACCGCCTTCGCCGGGAATCGAACCACGGACCTCTGGAATACCGGCCCAGCGTGCAGACCCACTACACCACGAAGGCACGCTAGGAAAGTGGGAGAAATACCTTATAAGGTTTTCGACGATAAACCAGAGAAGTTCTACACCGATGGCATTAGGAAGCTACCAGAAAAATGGCAAAAGTTCATAGATAATAATAATGGCCAATATGTACTTGATTAAAATTGATTTTCAGTAAAGAAAATTTTTTTCAAAAATGCATTAAAAATTCGCGAAGACTTTTTATATGGCCCAATATTTAAAACACGTATCCACATATGATTCTAAAGTGAAAAAAAGCTCATTCTAGGTAATGGTATGAGCTAAGGTTGCTATTTTATTGAGAGAAAAAAAATTTCCTACAATATAGTCAAAATCTATGCTCAGCTTGTTTTAAAAGCAAAATAAATGCTACAGCTGTACTCGGTTATTTTAATTTTGCGCAGTCATTTCTAAGGTATTTGCCTAGACTTGCGAAACTGATTTGAATGTTTTCCAACATTACCTGTAGAAATAAATGCAAATGCAAATACTGAACGGCTGGAAAATTATGAATATTATAAAAAGATCATTCATACTGCATTTTCAGGCTGCTTAATATCTTTGTAACTGTAATAGTTCATAGACAGATTTTATTAACGTTTAGATACCTCGAATATTTAAAGAAGGATATATCAATGACATCAAATATTTTTTTTTCGTCATTGGTGTAGCAGAACTAATTGGATAGAGATTGCGGTTGAATTTAAAATATATAAGTTAAAAGTGTTAAAAATAATGCAAGAAATGCATCACATTCATATTCTTTTTCTCTCTGTTCGAAAGCACTTTAGCTGAAAACGAAACAATCGTTTATGTTAACACAGCTTATTATGTAATTTTCAAAAAGAATGGTATAACACTTTTCAAGAACTTCGGAGACAGAATGTGAAAACAAAACAAAACAAAACAAAATAATAATAATAATAATGTTAATCTTGTCAGAATAAGAAAATTTTCTCTGTGAGGTATTCCTTACTTGTGCATGGGGTAATCAAATAAAAATGAGAATATAAAGTCTTTTTCCCTAGTGTTTATTCTAAGATAAATATCGTGAAGCAAGACACACTGGTCAAATATTAGATATTCTGGTCTTAAAATGGCGAATGACGGGAAAATGCTATAAGCTTTATGAACTGACTGCTCTGTTAATGAGCAGTATGTGAAATTAGAAAAAAGTTACCCTTCAGGTTTGATATTGATATTCAGTTGCTTAAGACCAGAAAGATCATTACTAGATCATTTTCCATTAACTGAAAACTTATCTTATAATAATTTGAAAGATTTGAATTGTTAAATGAGAAAAAATAGGCATGAGACATTTATAAGGCTATATTTGCAGAGACAGCAATAATAATATCAAGGACTCATATAAATTCCCTGAAGTAGCGTAAAAAACAAAAACCAATTTTGTATTCTTGCAAAATAGCGAATTTGCTTGCTGTATTAGCATATGGCTTGCGTATTCATGCTTGCATATAATGATATGCTATATGCCCTAACATCAATCATATCCTATTTTAATGACCACCGTATTTTCATTTCGAGAATGGTTATCCTTTTTCGTAATTATTAGACTTTTGTTATGCAAATTAATATTAGCTCAAAGCAAGCCATGTTTCTCAGAGTAGCCATACGCATCACTGAAATTAATCACTAACATAATTCAGTAAAATTAATGCATCGAAGACAGATAATCAAAGAACAAACAAATTATCACAAGGAAGTTGCATAGAATTTATTCGTGAATATAAGAAGTGCCTGTACAGTCATCGATAAACATTTTGGCTATCTAAATGTTTCATCTATTACATCAGTCGAAGGGAATGAAATTATCTGTATTACAAGAAGGATAGATGAATGTCTCGTTCTCGTAAGTGACGTTTAGTGACAAGTGAGATATATTTTACTGGGTATTATTTAAGATGATAAAAATTTAATGGCAATATTTTAATTCTGAAACTTGTCATAGAATTTCGGCGAATGGTCCGAACAACGTGTTAATCGTTTGCGTGCTTTACAATTACCTAATTTGCACAAAGAATGTAAGTTAGGCCTAACTTACATTCTTTGTGCAAAATTAGGCCTAATTTGCACAAAGAATGTAAGTGTTTATTATAGTTCTATTGCAACAGCTATTGAAGAATGACAAAATCTCCATAGCGAAGCAATGTTGCTTTAAATAAGGAATTCTTAGTTGTTGTTTAAGCGTCTCTAAATCTCTGGATATGTGAATACTATTTTGATTGCCTTTTGAAAAGAATCTGACTTACATCGAATGCAGAAATTTGATCCTTCATGATCACTGCCTACCTTTGTAAAAAGCTTAAAATATTAGAATTCTCATTTGAGTGAATAAGAGATTTGTGTAATGTGCTGCATTTACGGTTTGAATATCCTACATATGATTCAATATTTTAGTGACAAGAATATGAGCATACATTAGTATAAGACAAAAATAATTTGGCATGAAAGAAATCAGTTTTTACTGTACATCGCATTAAAATATTTAGTATATTCCTTTAAAAAAAAAAGCGAAGAAAATTTACAGAAGAAATACAGAAGTACAAAGATTTGAATATTCTACAAGTTAAATTTATAATTAATGGAACCTATGTTAGCTGCATGATTTTTTTTTACACTCTAGTTGAGGTTCTTGTTAAAACTCTGGATGTCATATACTTGGTCTTCAATCATTTGTGTAGGTACTCAAAAGATTTAGTAAAAATTCTGTACCTTAGTATTTAATGTTTAACTTTTTTCAATATATATATATATATATACTATATGTATACAGATAAGTATTATTAGAAAGAAGAAAACTGGTTCTTTGTTCTCGTGCTTCAATTTACAATATTTTGTTAAACGAGTAGCCTCAGAGTAATTAAAATTTTGTATGTAGGACTGCTATAACATGCAGATGTGCACCTCTCGTTTTGATTGCAGTTGGCCAAATCAAAAGTATATATATAGTACATATATACCCACTCAGTTACTTGACTCCGTGAGATCAGTTTTTTTTTATTCTTATATATTGGTAAATTGCGCATTTTTTTGCTTTAAGAATGATTGAATTATGTTGTTCTTATCTTCCGGTTAAAAGTTTTATGCCTGTAGTTAATCTGCGTGCAATATTTGTAGAATTATCAACAATTTAAAAATCGTTTAAGAGTGGGTAAGCTTAATTTTTTACCATACCAGTCCTATTTGTTTACATTTGAAATTTAGCAGAATAGTGAATATAGTTTTTGCACCTTTAGTGTCTTTTTGCCGAGTGAGGCCAAAAATAAAATTTCAGTTTTGTGCACCGAAAGGTCTGCCTTCTTGCCCGCTGGCCGAATTGCTTGTTTTTGCGTAAAAGCTGTAATTTTAATTGTAAAAATTGTTTTAACTATTCTTGGTGTTTTGTGCCGGGTGGCCATAATTAAACTGACAGTGCTCACAGAGTTCTGTAGCGCGATCTATTTGCGAGAATGACGCCACATTTTGTCGGAAGATTAAACAAGACGGGACGAAGGATTCCGCGAAAAAAAATTAGTTCCAAAAGTCACCGCTAGGAGAATATTTGGCGCTGTGTAATAGAAAATAGAGTGTTAATAAATGCAAATTAATACGGAAATAAAATTACCTTTTTATTATGGATATGCCTTATGGAATATGGATATGCCTTAGAGTACGGTATGGAAAATCTTACGAAAGATTATCAACTTCTATCCGTACAAGATCAGCCGTGTACAGGAGTTACTGTACCCCGACCATGATAAGCGATTGACTTTTTCTCAACCTTTCTTGCCAGAATGGAGGTGGATGATGCTTGGCCGTGAAAAATCTTATGGGAAGACGAGACCCACTTTTACCTGGATGGAACTGTGAATACCCAGAACTGCCGAATTTGGGATGACAAATCACCACATGCAGTCACACCAATTCCCTTACATTCACCAAAGGTAACTGTTTGGTGTGGGTTCACAGCGGAATTTATCGTAGGTCCATTCTTCTATGAGAACTTTACCCCGAGAGAACCGGAAACCTGTGCTGTTACCGGAGAGAAATATCGCCACATGTTGAACAGCTTTGTCATTCCGTCACTTCAGCAAAGACAATGCCTGGAGGAAATAATTTCCATGCACTCCACACGTTGCTGTACGGGTGCAACAGATGATACGACAGAAATTCACAACAGAAAGAGTCATTAGCCGCTACTTTCCAACTGCATGGCCATTTCGGTCGCCTGATCTTACCCCATGCGATTTCTGGCTATGTGGTTACCTTAAGTCCAAGGTCTATCAAGGAAGTGGTACCAGGACCTGGCTACGTTGAAGGATAACATATCACGGACTGTACGGGAGATTCCTGCAGACATGTTACTTTTTGCTGTTGTGCATACTGTGCACAGAATGCAATATGTGGTCCACAACAACGGCAGCCACATTGAACCTCATTTGAATGCAAAATAAAGGGTAATTTCCGTATTGATTTGCATTTTTTAACACTCTATTTTCTATTACACAGCGCCAAATATTCCCCTAGCGGTGACCTTTTGGAACTAATTTTTTTTTTCGCGGAATCCTTCGTCCTTGTTTAATCCTCCTACAAAATGTGGCGTCATTCTCGCAAATAGATCGCGCTACAGAACACTGAGAGCACTGTCAGTTTAATTATGGCCACCCGTTATTTTGCTATATCTTTGAGTTTTTATGTACTTCTGCCTTCTTGCGAAGTGAGAACTTAATAAATTGAATGAGAAATCTATCTCTAAGGAAATTCAAAGGAAATAAGTTTATATGAAATGCAGGAAAATTGCGTATAACTTAATATTCCGTACCAGGAAGTCCTGTGGTGTCAGATTTTTTGAATATGTTTTTGAAACTACAGAAGCATGACATATTTCTTCAAATCTTACAAAATTATTAGAAACACAAATCCTCTGTTTCAAGTCTGTCATAAAAACAATTATGGGAAAGTACTTCTTATGGGTAAAAGTCTTATGGGAAGTACAATACGAAAAGATGCTCAATTATGGAAGTTTCTCCGGTAAAAACGTAATTTCACAAATGTTTGAAGACCAAACATTGGACACCATTTGTAGTTTCTGGGGAATACGTTTGACGCTCCTTTTTGTGACAGTTTGAAGTATAAGTTATCTGCACAAATGGATGAAACATCAATATATAATTGATATTTCGTTCATCTTGCAAATAGATGTAGCTCAATAAACAGTTATTATTTATTTTTTAAAATATCACATTCTGCTAAAAAATACTGTAAGTAAACAAATTGGCAAAATCTAAGAAAAAGATACTCACGATTTTTACACTTGCATTTCTTGATCAACTTTTCATCTTTTACATCTTCATGGCAGTGCTTGCAATAATACCACGCTCTACGACAAATTAAAAGAATCGGTATTCGTTTTAAAATACATTCATTACTATTTTCGTATAAAAATACAGTAAAAATAAATCTCGAAAATAAAATCTTTAAAATTTTTATTAATGTTAATTTAAAAATATTAGGTAAACGTGAGATTTACTGTAATATGATGACTATTAAATTCTTCAGTTCAACTCAAATGTTTGCTTCGACAGATATGGACTTAAATGCTTTATTATCCATAAGCTGCTTCACAAATTATAAAAAATTCTATAATATACAACAGGCATTTGCAAATGTTCTACTCACTTTTTAATCTCTAAACATAATAAAAGGAAGTCTGTCTGTCTCTCTATGTGTGTGTCTTTCATTCGTGCTGCGCGTAAGCTAATAGACGCAGGGCTACGAAGTTTGGTACATAGGTTCATCTATACAACAACCAATGCAGCTCGAAGCGATTTTTTCAAAATTCGAATGAATTTTTTTTTAATTTTTAGTTTTTTTGGTGAAATTGCAACAAATCGATAATTCTATCTCATTATATCAGCAACAATGGCATCCAGCCATTGTTGCCCTGATATACCACTGTTGCCATTGTTTCATTTTAGTGTTACCACTTACAAAAATGAGCGCGAAAATTAGTGTTTTTAAGAGTTTTTAATTAATAGCGCTGGTTTCAGCTATATTTTTTTTTGGAAAATAGTGGACGTCGATCTTTTTCCAGGACTCAGAAAAGAATTGTTGAAAGTTTGGTGATGATAGCTGTAGTAGTGACTGAGTTATCAGGCGAACAAACACACAGACTTCCTTTATACAATTTGAATTCTAAAGATTTGAAAACAGGAAGTTGGTTAACTTATTTATTAAGATAATTAATATTTGTATTAAGGAATATTGCTTATTTCATTGAAATTGTTTTTTATATTATGTTTTAATTATATATAATTTTAATCATATAAAAGTTTTGCAGGATTATTTTAGGAAACGAATTTTTTATACCATTTGAATTCTTAAGATTTTGCAACGGGAAGTTGGTTAATTTATTTATTAGGATAATTAATATTTGTATTAAGGGATATTGCTTATTTAGTTTTAATTTTTTTAATATTTGATACAGTTTTATCGAATTTTATTTGATAAAGTTGTTTGCAGAGTAAGATTCGGTACAGTTCTGAAATTTAATGCTTGGCGTTCAATTTAGGCACTTTTTCTGGTACATTTAAAAGCCAGACGAAAGCTGGACGCGTAGTGGCTGGTTTAAAAAGAAAAACGGAAAACGCGAAGAATTACGTACTTATGATTTCGCCTAATTGTCATTATTATTCATGAATCTTAGCATCTATCTAAAAATAAATTTATCCGATTTCAATAAAAATATTCTATTTTAAAATCAATACGTTTCATAATGCCGCTTTCAGATCGTCTAAAGTTTGGAAAAGGCAGGAATAAGACGTTGACAAAACTGAATTGAAGAATCACTATCTTTATTTTTACACATGTCAAATCATCTTGTTGGCAGAAAAATTATTTTTCCAATCATCGTTGAATATAATGATTTTTTTACGTAGACTGATTTTGAAAGTACGAAATAAGCAGGAAAGGATGAGCAGCCTAGAGATGTTTGCTTTGCAGTAGTCGGGAAAAAAAAAGGAATGCGTAATTACTTGTGGAGCACTATTTATACTACGTAGGTGCAATTGTAAAGTTTAACTGCTATTGTTTAATTTTAGTTTTAGTTAACCTTTTCAAGCACTATTATGTAACTTCGAATGATCTCTAATTTGGGAGAACAGATGAATTTAGGAAGGAGAACACCAAGTTTAGAATAGTTAATTTGGAAGTTGCCAATTATTTTTAAAGCAGCCATCGTATTTTGTCATATCTCACATATCCCCCTCCCCCTTCAAAAGAAAGGTCGGGGGAGTAGGGTTGCAGAAAAAGCATTAGTGAATTAGCGAAGCAAGAGGAAGTTTATTATATGATGAAAGACATAAGGAAGCATCAGAGACATAGCCGGCAGGATTTTCCTATGCCCTGTCATGATTCATGAGCTTTCTCATACATAAACAACTAATTTACAGTTATTGCAACAACAATCGTATTTTATTATATATTACATAAATATATGTAGTAAGAAATTTAGAAGCAATTGTTCACAAAGCCCCAAAATTGAAATTTATATGTAATAAATTTCATAAAATCCCATAAATATTAAAACAAAAATACGTCAAATAAGCATTACCCTAATTTTAAAAAAATCAATGAAATTTAAAGAATATAAAAGAAGAAGAATTCAATTAACCTCAATGCCACTTCGTCAGGATGAGGAACACTGAAATCAATTGAAATCTCTCTTTCATAAAAATCCTTGCTTTTCTGTATCCAGAATTAGCCGGTGAACCATTCCAGTGCATTTTAATTGTAATAGTTCACCCGAAAATTCTAGCCTCTCCTCAAAGCAAGGAAAAAACAAAGTAAATTCTAATCAAAATTTGACCTTTAAACATAGATAACTGTATCCAAAGAATTGAAAACGTAAGTGAAATACTAAAATACTTTAGTGAAACATTCAAATCAAAATTTTACCTTTAAATAAAGAGAAAATAATCCAAATATATATATGCAAAAGCTGCTGTTCAAAGCATTTAATATGTTATAGAATGACAAAAAAAAAAAAAAAAAAAAAAAAAAAAAAAAAACAGCATTAACGGTATTGCTAATCCGAAAATGTTATAACAGTAAATGAAAAATAGTAATTATATTTTTATTAAGGCACACCGCTTTGTCGTAGGGACAATTTCTATTTCGAAACAAATAAACAAATATATAAAACAAAGTTAAAACTGACCTTTTGACTTCATCAGCTGATTGGGCCATGAAGAAACCTTGGGTGTTGGGGCCTATCTTTACCTTCTTTTTAGGATTTATGGTGATCTTTGTGTCCGAGCTATCCTCATTAGGAATCTCGATTGCCAGCAAAAGAAGTTTTAATTTGACGAAGCAAAGTCTGTTTCAAGAAAGAAATAATAAACGATTCATTGTTTTCTTAAAAAGCTACCAAAATTATAATATAACCTTGGGTGTTCTTATTAACTTTATATTAACAAATTATGATTATTAATTATATGTATTATATATAGCCTTAGACATATTGTGTAGCCCTGATATTCTTATTAACAAATTTAATTAATTATTTATTGTTTTAAAAGTACAAATTTCTTCCAAAAAACTTAATATAAAATGTTGCATGTGGAGTTTGTTATTTATTGTTTAGAGATATTTTTTTAAAAAAGAAAAGTTATTTAAGTTAGAAGTTAAAAAATTAAGTTAAAAGTATTTTGTGAATCATTTTTTAAAAGAAGTAATAGAAGAAGAAGTAATTCTTAACAACAAATAATTTAGAAGTAATTTTTAAAATAATTATTGATGCAGTTGTTAGCTTTCACAGCTCCGAGTTAATGCGGTAATACAGAGGAATTAACAAGCACTGAAGGTGAATTTGTTGCTGGCGAGAAATTAATATTTCTTTTTTTTACTATAAAAATTGATAATTGGTATCACCGATTATTTTATTAATAAGAGTAGTAGTTTTAATACAATTACGATACGTTCTATAATATAATTCTATAAAAAACAAACGGACAAATATTCTAGTTATGCAAAATGTGTTATGTTATTGCATATGTTAATTATCCTAGTTATGTTTGAAATAAATCTTTGCAAGAGAACGTAATTGTTATCTTAACAAGGAAAATCTTATAATAGATTCGTAGTTATAATTCAAGGGGAACTTTTTCTACTTCTCTCATTTAAAAAAAAATTTTTCATCGGTAATAAAAGGTAATTAAAATAATAATTAAAAAATTACAGAAATGAACTTTAATTTATATGACATGAAAAAATCACTGCTAAATCTTTATATTTAATCTTAACAGAATGCTTCAAAATAATTTTAGATTTAAGTAGTTTAGCCAGAATTTTTAATCTAAAATGATTCTGGGAAAAGTATGAGAAGTTGCAAAACAATTTTAAAAAATTGTCTTTTTAATGATTGAGAATAAAACAAAAACAAAGTGTTAAATATCGGATAACTTTCAGTTTTGAGATGATAAAAATGAAACGAGATTGCAACAAATTTCTAGAAGAAAGAGAAATATACTTACTCTGCTGCCTGTGGGAAGGTCATTCCACCAAATGACGGCGATAGATTTTCCGTGTACATCTCCATTCCTGTGCCGCACAGGTAATCATTCTGCCACTCTGGCATATCTGGAGACTAAAGAGGAAAAAAAAAAATTATCTCCAGCGCCCCCTCGAGACTGTGTATCGGAAATTCTAAAGATATACTCTTTTAAATATTTTGTGATATTACTGTTGAATTGAATTTTATGGTTTAAGTACGAAGAACATGATATTTAATAAATAAAAATAACACAGAAACGTTAAAAAACGCCCCTTTGTGCGTAATATAAAATCTGAAAGCTTTTTAACGCTTTATTAACTGTTTGAAGTTTACAATACGTCAACTCGACGCTAACAAACGATGTCTCTGAAAACGCGGTACCTGAAATAAAAGAACTAACTAAAGATTCGAAAATACGTACAAGTCGTAGAACTAAACTACAGGGCTCAGAATAATTCGTGTTTCTTAAACCCCCTTCGAAAACTAGCGGCAGCAAGCAAATGCAATTAAGCCCCACGAACCAGTAAAAACTCTGGAAGCAGACACTTAAGCAACAGAGGTGATGGCAATAGCCTAACTCTCCCTCTTTCTTACTGAACCTCGGTTTTTAAACTCTTGCTTTAAGATAGAATTTGCATTCCTTCACGCGCGCTACCAAATTTAAATACTCTGACACTGACAATTAGGGAAATGAAAGATTATAGGAAAGAATAACAAATTAAATAAAACTGGTTATTTAAAATAAATATAAATCGCTACAAATAATAAGTTTATAAATTTGAAGATCTGAATAAATGTCATAAATGACTAACAAGCCTCACGCTCATTTTCAGTTAAGAATTTGTATTCTTCTTGAAATAATTTGTTTTTGAAACATTTCGAGACATAAATTAATTTATCTAATTTTATTATTACCTAATTTTATTAATTTAGTATTAACAGAGAAATGATGATAGTTCAACTTACTGTTTTGTAGGACCGCATGGCAAAGAGATTCGCCATCATGGTCGAGAAGCCAGGTGCCAGACAGCTTTGAGCAATGAAGCCCAATTTCAATTCAGATACACAGATGACATCATCGCCACGTTTCCAGTTCCAGCTTGGTATGTTTAAAAGGTAAGCCTGTCAAGAAATGATATGAATCTTACTCTTTGGTCCTCATATGCAGCATCAAGCACAAGATGTATCATTTAAAGCAACGGTTCTCAACCGGTGGTACGCAAGAGAAAAATAGGTGGTACGCAAATAGGGGGTACAAAGTATTTTTAACTATCAAATTCAAAAATCTTGTGAAGAAGAAGAACAACTGATAAAAATTTCCTGTGATCGAATTCTAACTGAAGATTTTTAAAATTATTAACTTTTGGCTGAACCTAGAAAAAAAATTAAAAGGCATTATTTCAAATAAAGCTATTACATTTTTATTGCCTTTTTGCAAAAGCTATTTGTGTGAAAAAGGATTTTCTTCCATGTTGTATTTGAAAAATAAATACAGAACAAAATTAAAAGTGGATCGTGGATCTTACACTGAAGTGACAAAAGTCATGGGATACCTCCTAATATTTTGTCGGTCCTCCTTTTGCAGCAACTCGACGTGGCATGGACTCAACAAGTCGTTGGAAGTCCCCTGCAGGAATATTGAGCCATGCTGCCTCTTTAGAAGTCCATAATTGTGAAAGTGTTGACGGTGCAGGGATTTGGGCACGAACTGACCTCTCGATGATGTCCCATAAATGTTCGATGGGATTCATGTCGGGCGATCTAGGTGGCCAGATCATTCGCTGGAATTGGTCCAGAATGTTCTTCTAACCAATCGCGAACAATTGTGGCCCGGTGACATGGCGCATTGTCATCCATAAAAATCCCATTGTTGTTTGAGTACGTGAAGTCCATGAATGGCTGTAAGTGATCTCCAAGTAGTTGAAGGTTTTCATTTCCAGTCAATGATCGGTTCAGTTGCACCAGAAGACCGAGTCCATGCCATGTAAAAACATCTCTGACCATTATGGAACCACCACCAGCTTGAACAGTGCGCTGTTGACAACTTGTGTCCATGGCTTCGTGGGGTCTGCGCCCCACTCGAACCCTACCATAAGCTCTTACCAACTGAAATCGTGACTCATCTGACGAAGCCACGGTTTTCCATTCGTTTAGGGACCAACCGATATGCTCACGAGCCCACGAGAGTCGCTGCAGGCGATGTGGTGCTGTCTGTAAAGGCACTCGAGTCGGTCTTCTGCTGGCATAGCCCAAGGAAGACAAATTTCGCCGCACTGTCCCTCGTACGTCCTCGTACGTACACGTCCCTCGTACGTCCCACAGATTTCTGCGGTTATTTGACGCAGTGTTGCTTGTTTGTGAACATTGACAACTCTGCGCAGACGTCGCTGGTCTCGGTCGTTAAGTGCAGGTGGTCGGCCACTGCGCTGTCCATGGTGGGATGTTATGCCTGAAATTAGATACTCTCGGCACACTCTTGACGCTGTGGATCTCGGAATGTTGAATTCCCTAACGATATCCGAAATTAAATGACCCATGCGACTAGCTCCAACTACCATACCGCGTTGAAAGTCTGTTAATTCTCGTCGTGCGGGCATAATCACATCAAAGCATGAATTCACATGAATAACTTGAACAGAAATGAAAGCCCTGCCAAAGCACTTCGCATTTATACATTTTTTGCGCGATACTACTGCCATCTGTATATTTGCATATTGCTATCCCATGACTTTTGTCACTTCAGTGTAATTTACGATTAAAACTAAGCGAAATAAGACCAGACATAAGGAAATTGATCTGTCTTAAACAGGCCCAAATTTGGCACTAAATTTTAGAATTAAAGTATTATAACTTAAATTTTGATAATTAAAATGGTAACTAATTTTTAATCGAATATTTTTTATGTGTGCATATTTAATACAAATAGCCAACAGGCTGTGCAAATGGCAAATATTTTCTCTAATATTCGAGAAATTGGAAAATAATCATTGTAAAATATAATGGTGGTACTAAAGTTTTACAATTTTTGTTCAGAAGGTACGCGTTAGTCAAAAGGTCGAGAACCGCTGGTTTAAAACATCATAACGACTGAACGTGTCCAATATGTTGCATCGAATATGTAATCAAAATATGCGGCACGTATAAATCAACCTATTAATTCACGTTCTTTAGAATTAAGAAATAGCTCCGTGAACAACCCAATATCTTGCTGGAATTGATTCATTAGATTTCTGATAAACCCCGGAAGCAACTAATAGCTTTGAGGGTAAAGATATTTTTATGTACCTGAACTTTATTCATAATTTGTACTTCTCATATTTTACAGATGATAAATATTTTACAGATGATACGTTATTTAAATTTTGGACTTGGCTAAATTTTGGTTTGTAATACTACCTTAAAGAAAAGGGAGGGAAAACGTCAAACAGAAATTTTTATAAGTGCCACCCAATTGATTATGCTGTAATAAAGTGTGTAATATTTAGCGCAGAAATGCATGGTGTTATTTTCAAAAATGACGCATATGTTTATAATTATTAATTAGGCACATTATAAATACTATATAAATTACAGCATTTGAGAGATACTATTAAAAATAAAATAAAGGGATGTAAATTATTAAAACGTATGTACATCACTTTTTAATCTAGTAGTTAACTTTAGTATTATATACCTTTAATTTGAATGATAAATAAAAGATCGTATGCCATATCGAATGGCACATATGAAAACAATTTGCAAGCTTAATGAAAAATCTTGTGACCCTTGGTATGCCGAAACAGCAAGTAACGCTATCAAGAACATAAGAGCTTGTATTGAGGAAGATGGTAATTGCATTTAAAATTCTTTCATTTAAACATGTTTTCGTATTTATTTATGCATATTTTTTCTGTCAAATGTATTGTTACGAAATGCCCAGGCGCGGTAAGATGGCTTCCCCGCAAAGCAGTTTTAGTATTGCCATAAAATGGCAAAGGAAAACAGGGCTGCCACAGTTGGCGAAAAATCGCCCATTTGGCGACATTTGGCAACGAAATTGGCGATATGCCATGGACGGATGGAGAACCTTTCTGGAACGAATTCTTACCGGTTTAGCCCAGAATGTTCTCGAACACAAGCCAAAAGCTATACAAACTCGGCTGATACGCGGAGAGTTAGTGTCTCGTCTAGAGTGCGAGATAGTCTCGAGTGTGCCTAATCTAGTTAGTCCATGAGGAGAACGATCGAGTTGACAGCCGGCCGACGAGTGCCGAGTAGGCCGTCGAGTGCATCGAAGAGTCTCTTAGTGTATCGCGGTTAGTGCATCGTCGAGAGTGTGTTAAGCTCCTGAAACGACTGAACTGAATAGTCGGGAGCTGTGCTCTGTGTGTCGCCGAGTGCATCGCGAGTTGTAGAATGGAGAGTCTCGAGAGTACGTGGGGTTCCGAGAACGATCGAGCAGAGTCGGGAGCCGTACTCTGGTGCTTTGCAGTGAAGCTGTTTCCACCGTTATAGCCTGATAACCTGGGGACTGTGTCGCTGATTGTTCCAGCGAGTGTATAGTAGATCTTCGGAGACTATAAAACGTGACTTTGGAGCTGTCCTGATTAATATTGGCTAAATAAAGTGTGTTTCGATACTTCATCAAGTGTCGTCGTTATTCGCTCCAAATCTTCGAACCCCGCGCGAACGTGAAAGAAGAAAATAACATAGCAACTGGTGTCAGAAAAAAAAAAAAAAAAAAGAACTTAACAATATGTAATGTTAAGAAAAGTGCTGGAGAAGCTTTATTTATAGATGGCATATATAATATGTTTACATGCGTTTGCTTCGAGTTCTGGCTTTTCTTTGATTTGGAATATTTTCTTGTGTATTTATTTCTTGTGTATAAATAAATACACACTTATTGTGTATTTATTTCTTTTGCATGTATTTGATACGATATGTTGAGAAAAGAACCTGTATTTCAGTATAAAATTCTTTTCAGTTTCATATACATATTATAAACATAGCTCTAACGTAAAGTTTTGTGCAATTAAAACGTTTAGACATATTTAATTATCAGAAAGAAAAGTAGTCGTTATCTTAAGAATATCACGAGTATATTTCTTGGTTATTTGGGTTTCTCCTCATTTCTAGTTCTAAATGTTTTTCTTATATTATTCTTTTATTTTATATGCTACTGGTAAAAAATTACTTGCTTATATATAGGTAGTTAGCAGCAAAACTTTTTGACTTACCTCAGGAGTATCTAACCATTAAACAATAAATTATGTTAACATTTAGATAGTTAAAAAAGTAAAATCTAGTTGTTGAAAGTAAGTAAAATCTATATTGTTCTATAGATTTGTTGAATTAGTGCATAATGAAGAGAAAATACAGCATATAACAAAGAGAATGAGAAAGTTTTAGACACGCGTTTTAGAATTTTCATTAAAAGTAAAAATTCTGAGAAATATTTGAAATTGTTGTAACGTTTTCATGTAATGTGTTTAGAAACATTTTTCCTTTTATTTTATTTTCATAGTTAAGAATGAACTCTGCAGTTAGGTATCTATCTAATGGACGAGATGTGGTTATTCATTTTATATCATTAATTTTTGAGTTGCATCTTTTCCCTCAACACGAAGTTCCTTTTTTTGTTCTAAGGAATATTTTACTAGATTCTAAATGTGGAATGTGAAAATATAAACTTCATAGGCAGTCCATCAAAGAATACCTAATGTTAACGATTCATATAATTTACATTTTATTTACATTCATGGACGACTTAATTTTCATAGCAGTTAATAACAACTAGTGGAAGGAGTACATTTCAGTCAAGGTTGACAATTTCTAACTACAAGAATAATTTATACTGATGCCTCAAAGAATCATGATTATGTCGAGGCAGCTTTTGTTTTTTTGTTTTTGATAAAGAAATCAAAAATAGTAGACTTCGTAAGTCTGCATCTGTTTTTACCGCAGAAACGTTTGCCATTTTGAATTCCTTAACCTTTATTTCAAGAGGGCATTAGTTATAAATCAGGGAAATTTTAAGTTTACAAGCTGATTAAAAGTAGGTAATCGAGTGTCTGAATTCTTTAAATGCTTTTATCTCGTTTTTCATTTTTCGTGTTTTAATGCTAACAAGAAACACAACATCTTTAAAACTTATGATTGAGATTTTATGCAATTTGGTACACATATTTAGAACACTTCAAATAAAGAGACAGACTGTTTACTAATTGATAAATGTATTTTTTATAAATTTATTATGTGTTAAACAGGAATTTTAATGAGAAAATATTCTTTGTTATATTACACATTCTAGCTTAATTTTTTTTTAAATATCTTCCTAGATTTAAAATAATAGTCTACCTCCTTGGGAATATTATTATGATGGGTTTGCATTTTTCAAAATATGAAAATATATTACACTTTTCTTAGCACAGCGTTTCTAATTTATTGTAAATATTGCTGTTTTTTTGCTTGTTTTCTTACTTTACTCCAAAAATACAAAATTAATGGTCATTAAGTAACTCAGCTTCTTCATGTTTTTCATCATTAGTTACTTTAAAGCAAAAATTAAATGTACAAAATTAAAAATTTTAAAAAAAGTGTTCGAAGGTATACAGCCCCTTAAGGGGGCTCATACACCTTAAAACCCATAAGATCTTCGAATATGTGACTGTTGCAAGAATTGGGATAACTTATTTATTTTAAAAGCAATTACTTCAAACCTTTTACAGCTGGCTACATAATATAGCTGCTTTCTGAAATAGTCATCGGAAAGTTTGTGTTCCCACAAATATTTTTATAATTTAATCCGCTTTGTGACGAACGTTTTTGTCATGTTTCCACCTTGCATCGCACAGATTAAAACACTCTGTTGCATAATTTAATTCCATATTTAATATATAGCTTTTATAATATTTGGAAACTACTGTAAACCAAAAATTGTAAAAACTTCATGTTAAATTTTTATTTTAATTGCAGTTGAGTTTATAAAATGTATTTTACTAAAAAATCTGTAATGTTTTCGTGCATAAAATTTTTTAATATTAAAATATTCATCATATTTTTGGTTCAGTTAGAAAGTAGTGCCCATATAAAGAATTCCATCGAATTATGTACCAATTATGTATGTACCATTAGCCATTTCTAAAATATCATGAAGAAAACGTTTGTCACAAAGCGGATTAAATTACAAAATTATTTGTGGCAACACAAACTTTCTGGTTACTAATTTCCAAAGCAGCTATATTATGTAGTCAGCTATAAAAAGTTGGAAGTAATTGCTTTTAAAATAAATAAAATATCCCAAATCTTGCAACAGTCACATATTCGAAGATCATAAGGGGTTTAAGGTGTTAAGATCATAAGGGGTTAAGGTTCCCTTAAGGTTTTGCGCCAATAAAAGTAAACCAACCAACCAGGTTGAGAATTTGATAAACGAATTATCTTACCTTATTATGATATTGCATGAGCTGGATGATGACCCTGATTTCATCTGAATAGTTTTTGATGGAGATGACCCTCATAATGTTGGCAGCATCTTCTGCATCGGGATCTTGACAGTATTTGTTGGCTAGCACCAGGCAAGCATCTGCTTCGTGAACCTGCAAGCGGACACCAGAATGTGAGAACTCGCCCATTCATTCTCAACTAAATTTACTTGATACCATAAGTTGTATGAGATATTTGTATTTTGTTTTTGTTGTTTCTCATCCCCGTGATCATCAGAGCTAGATCAGGTCCATGAGCCCACTCACCCTGAAAGAGTCCAGTATAAAAAGGGGGTCTTGAACCAGATCCTGTCTGGTAAGCCCCAAACAAGATAAGATGTGATCAAGAGAGGCCTGTGCGGTAGAACACTTAGTGCATATTTCAAAGTGTTTATTACCACCAACAAAAGTCATTGATGTCAGATGGCCACTAAGGTTTGGTTTGGTTTGGTTTATTTAATTACGAAAAAGCACACTAGGGCCATCTGCCTAAGGGGAGGGACGCCTTCGTGGAGGACTTTGTAAGGGAAACTGGCTCGTATACACGTTACACATGGGGAAAACCGCAGGCCACTAAGGAATCTAGTAAGTGCAGTTTTTGATCTCGTCTATTGCTGCTCTGAACCAAGGAGCCACCAGGGCACATACTCTAATATCATGGGTGCACTGGTGGGACCATCCAAACGGCCTTATGCTTTGCCTTACATTTAGAAAGTAGTCCCATATAGTAAGTAGTATGAGGAGCGGCAGGCATTGTGGTCACGCTCTATTTATGTTTGCTAACGATGCATAGGATATCACCAACAATTTTCGATTTCATCATTATCTAACGAGACTCAAAAACCTATCGCTTTCGAACCCCCCTTCCCATAGTAGCCGAGTGATTAAGACCACCAAACATTAGTAGCTCAGAACCCTGGAAAGCGAGCTGGCTGCATAGGTGCTTTCATGGTTTTCTTCGTGAAAAACATAGATCCGAGACAATATCCCTTAGAAAGTCCTCCATGGAGGTATGTCCTTTAGTAAATAATTCTCGTACGCTCTACCTTACTTCAGCAACTTAGCCTGATCTGGCCTACCTTTCTCTGAAGATACTAGTGGAAATACAATTTGAATTTGATTTGGTTTGACAGCACTGTGATATTGAGAATTAAATTAGGAAGGACTCTAAATAAAAAAATTCTTACAGAAGAATTTTATTGAACAAGAAAGTGTGAGCGGAACAAGATCAATTTAGTCCCCCCCCCAAAAAAAAGTAAATTACATTTTTAAATTGAAGAGTTTTGAGTATGTTTTGTTCATTAACATTTAATAAACTAATAATAACCGTAAATAAATGCCAATTCCTTTTGTTTACGTTCACCAATCCTAAACTATACAGTTCTCCCAAGCCTGAGACTTTTTCGAGGCATTATCTTTAAGTCCTCATGTTTCTGTTACTTTTAGATTGCAGAAGAAAGATCCAAACCCACGCGGAAGACCCTAAAAGTTAACTTTGATGGAATAATAAGAAAATAAAAATTACTGTGTGTAATTTCAGTCAATAATTTTAAATGGAAACCACATTTATTACTAATTATTTAATGAAAACGGTGATAGAAAGTTTCATACCATTTAAGAAAACAGTGCTAGAAATTTTCATATCATTTAATGAAAACTCTGCTAGAAATTTTTATATGATTTAATAAAAACTGTGTTAGAAATTTTCATATGATTTAATGAAGACTGTGCTAGAAATTTTCATATGATTTAATGAAAACTGTGCTAGAAATTTTTATATGATTTAATGAAAACGGTACTAAACATTTTTCACTTAACTCTGTTACGCGAAAGAGCAAGTAGGGAAATTAAATGAAACGATCCACAGTCAGCAAGCATGCCGGCCTCATTAAGCACGTATATATAATACGTGTTGAATTCATCACGTAGGGTTCTGCTTGTGCAGAACCTTAACTCAGTATTCTTTAGACTCTCCTAGACTGACAAACGAGTTTGAGATAAAGTCTTTTAAAGTTAAAATAACATTTTTATTTAAGTCTTGAAATTAACAGAAGGCACTGTTAGTGCTACAAACGGAATTTCCCTACTTGCAGGTATTCGAAATAAATAGAACTAAAAGTTTAAATTCAAATAACATAGTTTTGCGCTCTTTTGAGGAGTACGGAAAATCACAATAACTGGCCAACAAAAAATTCTACAATCCAGTTATGTTTTATTAAATGCTTGCATCGTGTCAGGTTTTTTTCACACATCGTTGGAATTAACTAAGATCTAGAGTCTACTAGGTGTTCTTTAAACGGCTCTTTAGTTGACAGAGCTTTGATAACGCAGCATACGATTATCTGACACTTTTCTTTAATTCTCTATCAAGTTCAAAAAGAAAAACACTCTGGCGGCCAAACGAAATTTTTAAAGTCTACATTTAGTCATCATCCCTAAGCACTTTTACCGCGGCGATATTGTCACAGCAAAATGTCTGTTGTAATCAGATGCAAAATCAGCTTCCGATCTACTTAACTATATTTATATCATTTTTGGTATGCTGTTGTATTTTCTGTATATATATGTGATGTACCAGCTTTTGTCCAGAATAAAAGATTGGTGAAGAATCATAAATGTAGTCGTAGCTTAAATTATCAGACGATAAGTTTAAAAAACAGGATCCATTTATTATTATTCAGGAGAAATAGCAGTTACAAAATCAGATATCCGGAGTAAATAAAAAGAATTACTAATAACTTTTTGTATGAAGTTTACTGCATCGTGACATTAAAGAAAAAGCCCCGATATTCTTTTGCGAGTCCTTTTATAGCCTCTGGAAAGGCGGAGCTTCCAAGAAATGACGTCAGCCAATCCAGTTTGCTTTAAATATTTCCAGAACATTCTATAATTGTACGTGTAGAAAAGACGGGAAAAACAACTTGACTACGGGGCTGTGGATTTAATTCCACGTACTTTCAAATAAGAGAACGTCGCCATTAAAAATGAAAAGAACATACAGTTAGAATTTTAAGTGTATTCTTGACAATGGAATTTTATTATTACATATATATATATGTTGGCAGTACTGCTATTAGCTAAAATATGAATTCTTTCATTTTATTTTGCTCTTGTTTTTATTCAAGAACTCGATTTTAAAAGGCACATTGGTCATTCTCTAGAGGAATTATCATGTACATTATTTTTGTAGTAAAATTCCTTTTTTCTGTCTACTCTACAACAAAGCCTGAAGAATTTCTCAAAAAGAAACTTAAAGCTGTATTAGCATAAGGATAGACTGAATGGCCTGAAAATACTCGGTGCAGAGGAATTTCTGTATTACTGAATCGCAACACACAGGAATATTTACTTAAATATATTTACTCGGTGCAGAGGAATTTCTGTATTACTGAATCGCAACACACAGGAATATTTACTTCCGGCAGCAGCAACACATTGCTTTTAAATTTTTAAATTTATCAGTTAAATTCGAGCTATAATTATCTAACACTTTGTTGAATGGAATGATTTTATGCACAAAAAATAAATTTCCCAACCTAAGCAATGCGTTTGTATCGCTGAGTTTCTATCGCTAAATACGCTGTTAATCAAAAGTCCCACAAAATATGAAATAAAAGCATTTTGGGATTCGAGGTACACATCCTGCGGCTTGTTCATATTTAACGCTTTTATGTGCCGCCGTTTCTCCTCTATGAGAGGGAAAAACATAGAAGCAGATTCTTCATTCTAGAATAACAAGGATGTATAATCATGTGATACTTGTGAGAAACTTCGAATCGCGTATTCAGCAGAAGGCTGTTTGTCCTTCTTCACGAGAATGCAACAGCTCAAAGAGCAGTAGTGTCGCACGCAGTTTTGTCCAACAAAATGCATGCGTGGCCTTAAATATCCATCCTACTCCTTATATTTGTCCTCCTACGATTATTTTCTTTTTCTTAAACTGAAGAAGATACCGTGGAAATGTAGCTATGTGGATGATAATAAAGCCATTCTAAAGGTCGCAATATCATTTCTTCTGGCATGACGACATAAAACAGACACAAATTATTTCGGGCTTTGTTAGATCGGGCTTTGTTACTCTGTGTACCAATGACAAACGAATATAGTTTCAATACGAAGGATGTAATGTCCTTGTCTCGTGTTTGTTTGAGTTTTATTCAGTATCTAATTGTCAGACTGTATAGGATTGAAAAGAAATGCTGATGCTGATCGCTAATTTTATTAAAAATTTCTTTATTCTTTCTAAATAAGTATTTCTTGTTTCATCCTATTTTTGTTTAATCAAATGCTGTCATTATATTGACAATGAGAAACAATAAATTTAAGAAATTGCGAAATATTAAACTATGGCATAAATATTAGTTTAATTATCTTATATATATGCGGCTTAAGTGTTTGTCGCCGATAGTTTATTGGTTGCATGCACAACTGTACTAGCCAATGGTTTCTTATACATTTGGTTTTCAAATCCAAGTTCAGAATTTTCTTTTATTGTTGCCAAAACTAGATATGAAATACAATGTTTGCAATAAATGCATTTTCCTTTAAAAATATTAAATCTGTTTTTGTATTTTAAGCTGAATTTTCAGCTGAACGCAAATTGAGCGTGTCAGGGGGAACGTGAACATTTATTTGCATTGGCAGTCATCTGTTTTTGAAATGGTTTACAACTGTAATTATATCTTTTCCCACGGAATCTGTTCACGAGGATATTTGTCTTGTCAGAGTGGGATCAAGTATTTACACTTTGCATTTTAAACAAAAATTTATTTTGTGCAGTAAATAAACTAATTCAGATGAATTCAGTTTGAATTAGCAGACACCTTTGCACAAATCATTTTAATTACAATTTATAATATCTAGAACAGCGGTCATTTCGTATGACCGCCGGGCTTTCTAGTCTAGTATAATTTTAAATAATTAAACTAAGTTAATAAATTAAACTATGGCACAGTGAATTGAAATTAAAGTGACTGTGATTTGGCTGAAATTATCAGCAAGCCATTCAAAAATTCATGAACTAATAGCAATAACCGAAATCAAAATAAATTTAGTACTAAATCACATTTTAATCAAAATTTCGACCTAGTTTGGAACTAAATACTGATGCCTACAACATAACTAAGAATGATTCCTTTTCAATCATCGAAAGTTACAGAATTGAAATCCAGTTGCTTTTGAAACAAATGATACATATTTTTCAGTACTTATTATACACTGGAATACGTAGATTCTACGTACTCGTAGATTAAACCAAAAACTGAATTTTTTTTTTTTTTTTTTTTTTTTTTTTTTTTTTTTTTTTTAAGATTCGAAGCATTTGATTGAAAAGTGGTATGTATGTTTGATACATACTTTCACTCGCTGGAGGTCAATCGTGTTCATGACGCTGCCTTGGAAAAACTCCACAGTGGTGAAGTGCCTTTTAATCAATCCCTCCAGCTCCAGATCGGGTGGTTTTCTAAAAACGAAAGAGAATCATTGAATAATAATAAAAATGCAGTCTAATCTGAAAATATATGATTCATTCGTAGGCGGGTAGTTTACGTTTTAGTTAAAATATGCCATAATCAGAGTTTCGATCAGTTCATTTTGTGATCTTGTAGAAACATTATTATTTTTATGAGAGAAGGCAAAATGAAAAATGAGCAACGCCTTCGCCGGGAATCAAACCGCGGACCTCTGGAATACGCGCCCAACGTGCAGACCACCACACCACGAAGGCATGCCAAGAAGGCAGGAGAAATACCTTATCATCTAAAAACTAATATAGTCAAGTTATGTATAATGCAATAAATGTTTTGATTGGTGAACTCTTGTAACAATAGCAGGCATTTTACAACTGAGCCATTTTAGATATTTGACAGACCTTTGTTGGCCCTTTATAATATTGTAGTGCAAGTGCTTTCAATTTTTTGACAGAATTCATCTGTCTTGTGAGTTGGAGAATATTGTAGAGCGCAACCATTGCAACCACTGGCCAGTTGGGAAGAGATCTGGAGAATTTGCTAACCAAGGCAGAAGTGTTAGCATTCTGTATATTGAACGATGACACAGACCCTTCCCCACATATTTCTGAGCAAGAAATATGGCTAACCCTGATATCTGCATATGTGGGAAACAGGGAACTCTTAATCATTACACTTTCTCATGCCCTTAACTGAGGATATTCACATAAAATCCCCACGAACTGATCTCCTTGCATTCCAAAGGTTTCTAATTAAAGATAAACATCAGTATCCAAAGTTTCAAAAATTATGCAACGACTCTATTTCTACGGTTTAGATCTCTGTCTAGTGTAAGTCCACATACTGCATAAATTTAGTGGACTTTTACATGCTGCGATTATGGACAAAATGATTCCACTCGTGAACTTTATAAACTACAGTAAACCTTTATATCTGAAATAGCCCATGGATACCCACTTCTTTAGCATTATTATTACAATTCATTATCACATTGTGTTGCCAGTACTATTTATAATTATCCCATTATGTTTATATGTTTACTAATTATGCTTACCTCCTATTTTTGTTGCACCAAAACAGATGTTCTATTTAATTTGTGAATTTCAAATTGTGTTCAGACTGTTTTGTAACCTACTTATGTCCTTCATCTTTATTTTTAATAAATACTGGATGCGGGTGTACGGTGGGATTGCACGATGTACCATAATAGACAAATTTTAGACCATTTGGAAAGCTTCGGTCTATGTAAATTCTTATAAAACTTGCAATTCTCTCCCTTTTTTAAGAGTTAGTATCAGAAGGCATTACCAGTTTACCTATACATCGCTGGTATCCCCCATATTTTACCTGTACCTGTCTGTTAAACGAAACAGCGTGAACAACATGTGATTTCCCACTGTCCTGTTGAAAGAGGGGCGATGGAGGTTCGAAGATAGGGCACAGCTGTGGGCATCAGAAATATAAGGATGGTAAATAAAAGTACGCGTAAGATAGGCAAACTGGAGATAAACGGGATAAGTACCCGACGACACTCCCTGCCACCAGTTTAGGCGCTGGGCAATAGGTCGGTATTACGATGAGGAATGCAAACTCGTAAAGATGGTTTCTCTCAGTGCCTACGCATGTGGATACGACAGTCATGATGCTATAAAATGGGATCTGTCAGGAGAAACGACATAACGCTACAAATGCGTCATTCTACATCATTGAACATAACATTTTAATTGCCGATTCTTGTGCTGTAGCGTCAGCGAAAACCGAAAATAGTCGCCTTGTCGGCAATCCGCAATGTTGCAGATGTCATTACATCGAATTTTGGATACTTGGTTCTGTGCAACGCACCCAATTGCCTGATCCAGGGTACGAGTGATATATTTTACTTTTTAATAGTTTTAATAGTAGCACTTGAGCATACAATTCATTGACACCAGTTTGTGTTGAGTGTAACAAGTTCACTCAACACAAACACATGAAAAGAACAAAATGCAAAGTTTTGGAACCTAAATTGGTCAAAAGGAAAGTCAAACAGTCTGAAGATCTTGAAGCCCCTCTCTTTCCTGCCAGTATCTGTCATATACTAGATGTCCAGTCACTTATGGCATTCTTTACGATGAGAAACATCCGTAACACTGTCTCTCCCACATAATATACAGTTAGAGGACGAAAAGATGCCAAATCTAAATCAATGGACCGCAAGGCAATCATGTCCAGTCTCTAACCGAAAGGCTGCAACAGCGATTCGTCTTGGGGCAGGAGGTAATTTTAAAAGAGAGTCTCTCCAACGCTTTTGTTTAATTTGCTCTGCTTGCTTGAATCGGAAGAAATTATTCATACATTTTTTTTATTACTCGCACTACGATTCGATGAAATCTGTAGGATTTTGGTTCCTTTGCAAGACCCCTAATGATGCGGATGCGGATGGTCGTTGTTTCAGGTTTTGGGGATGAGGGTCAATTACATACTATACATTGTTCTGTGTGGCAATCCTGGATACATCGACTGAAAATTCTGGTAATAGTCACTGGATCTAGACGTACGAAAATTATGGATCGCATTACAAATCTGGGTATCTATGCAATTAAAATTCCTGCTGTTTATTACTTCTAAATTATATCTTTCCACGAAAGAGATAAAATAGATACTTCAGTGTGAATGGTGTCTGAAAATCACAGATCTTACTTAGAAAGTCAAGCGTCCGTGAAAACGAATCGACAGTACACCTTTATATTCTGGATAATTCCTTGAATTACTATTTGTATATTGATTTACTGTTTGCTATTTGTTACGCTGAGCTGCAGAAATACAATACAAATGTTTTTAACATTTAAGTCCGTTGCCCATTCCATAGGTTTTAAGCCCATTCCATAGGTTTTCATCTCATAGGACTAATTTTCGGATATAAATTTAGATCTAAGTGCCATTATTATGATATTTCTGGCAAAATGGGTGCCGGTTACAATGGATTTTACTGTACCATACCTATTTTACAGTCTTCACAATTTTCGGTAAAAATATTAAGCACATTTTATTTTAAAATAAAATTATTATTCTTTCCCGTATATAAGTAACTGTATTTAAAAAGTGTTTAAAAAATATAATTTTACTTATAATTTCGTAGGACCCAATCATACCATATGCGCACGAATTTTCATCATAACAATAAAACGTAAATTTTTCAGTGACACATTTAAACATTTTTCTGTTTTACACAGGCAAACTGTAATGTGAAATAGCAGTCGAGAATCTTCTAAAATTTACGTATTTAAAAAAGTGAACCTATTTAACATACAGTTTTAAAAAGCATTTCCTTATCATAATGAATTTTATGCAAATTAGACAACTGCTTTAATTTGCTTTTATTTTAATCTATTTTTATCCTTTGCGAAAGTAATGTTCAACTATTTAAAAGAAAAAATTAAATACATTTAGATGAAAATAGGGCAATATAAGAAAAAGTTTCTCATTTGAATAGAAGACACACATTTAAACTAACTGTATGTAAAATGTGTACTATTTGTTAAATGACATATATAAAAGTCCAACTTTCAAATTTAATCAGTTGCCATTTTTCCTTAAAAATAATAAAATTTTTTAATAAAACTATAGTTTAAAATATTAAAAATGTCATATTCTAATAAATGTTTCGTTAAATTTTATCGAAAATGAAGTAGAACCAAGCAAACAACTTGAACCGTGTAAAACAGAATGATACTCGAATCTTGCAACATTATAGAATTTAATTCTATGCAAATTTCGAAATCCCTGACAAATATTTTAAATATTTAAAGTTACACTTTTCCGAAACTTTTGGATGAAAAATTCAATTTTTTTAAATATGCCTAGAAATATTTACTTTAAGACGATGTGCAAATTTTTATTGGTTGTAATTCAAAATATGTTTCGAGAAAATTCCAAAAATTATTCGAAAATAAAAAAATTTTAACTATTTGGATTAAACCTAAATATCAGGTGTAAAGGTGGCGTATTAAGAAATAGATGTGACATATGAAGAAATACATATGAAATTCAATTAACATTACATAGCTAGAAGTTTAGTTAATTAAAATTAATTTAATTTTAATCAATTATATTGATTAATTAAAACTTGCTAATTAAAAAATTGCTCGTGAAGTTACTCGGCTTGTTATTTAGAAGTCCCATTTCGCATCAAAGTACGTTCGTTGTTACAATACGTTATATAAATCGAATATGTGCTATGGGTGGCGTTTTTGAGACGTAAAAAATGTCACCTGCCGACTAGAATTGCAGGTATAAAAATGTCTCCTTTTTTTCAGCCCCATTGACTGTACTTAGTTTGTTAATTATCATCATACTGAACGATTTGGTGGTATTTATTGGTACTAAAAATAGCTTAACCGTTTCGCGACGGGAAGCGCAAATGGTCACTTATGGCCGAGGCCGACAATCTCTTTCACGAGTCTCTGTTCAGGGCCGGAGGATTTTTTGCTGTTAAGCCTAAATCCATGAAATTACCGAAATATCAAAATGATGTTCTGTAGAGTTAATAATGTTCTGTAGAGTATTTAAACGGTATATGCTTAATATTATACTTTATTTACTTAAGTTACTTACTTTTTTACTAATGTCTGCTTACTTTTTATATATTTACTTACTTTTTACATATTTTACTTACTTTTTTATATATTTTCATGTAAAGTAAAGGAAAAACATATTTAAACGGTAATTTTAACATATATGATAGCTTAAAGAGTCGTCATAAAGCATGCCATCCGGAAACATTCAATTTACCTTATGTAATCAAAAACCACGTGCATGTGAGTCATGCTACTGTCATTTTGAGTAGAAGGTCAGACCTACATGTATCTGAAATCGACATACATAATCGACATACAATGCCATTTTGTGCCAAAAGTTAGTTTTTAAAACGTTCCAGGACACTGGCACAAATATGTGACGGCCGGGGGTGAACAAGAAAACGCTCTGGCACGCCAACGTGTCGGCTGGGAAGTGAGTGCGTTTCTTGCTGGCACGTATATGTGACAAACGGTGCGAAAGGAATAAGAATAAAGCCAATTTTCTTGCTTCAGAATTAAAACAGAAAAATAAGACAAAAACACGTTACCTGTGTAAGAACACAACTTCTACATCAACATCTTCACGGTCCTCATGAAGGAAATCCTTAAGAAAGTGAGACACAGACTCGTAGGTAATATGTCCACAAACTACGATATGCCTGCAAAAGTTGAAGAGTTAGTAAATGCACGTTTTATTTTCACAACAATGATTAAAACTGGAAAATTCCTACCTTTTCAGGGAAGGCCAAGTTATAATAATTGCTCCTTCTCTTCAGTTATGATTTACAATTCAAATTCCTATGGATCAAAGCTATCAACTGCTTATTTTGAATCTTTATTCCTGCCATTTTTTTGGTTATTTTTACGGTTATAAAAAATGGAAGAAGGGAAAACTACAGAACTAGAGAATAGAAGCAAAAAATTGTGAAAAAGCCTAGATTGTTAGTTAACTTTTAAAAACTAATCTCTTAACACAGCAATTAATTTGCTACCGATATTTTCTTAAGAATCAAAGACGTGATGGAGCAGTTTAATCGAAGTTACTGATTATGTAATAGTAAATTAAGGGAATTCTACTGTGATTAAATATTTATTTGTTCATCGAATAAAACGGCTAATATGATTTTTGATTATTATTTATTTATGGAATATTTTTGTAGCTATAAATAAGGAAATGCAGTTAAGTATCGGATATTCGAAATGCTTAGGTCGAAAGATTTAGCTTTTAAAAAAACTCAGTGGCGTAACAGCCCTAATGGGCCAAGGCCTGCAGTGCCCGAAATCTGCTTTCTTGACCGTGGGTCCCGGGGTGCGGATAGCTTTTACGATCACTTTATTCCATATAATGCATGAATAATTAAGATGAGAAATCTAACGGTGGTGAAGTGGCTAGCGTGGTCGCGCAGCTGCACCACAGGTCCGGGATTTGATCCCCGGGATGGGCAAGGTTCCTTAAGTGTTCCTGTTTCATTCCTTAAGTGTGTCGATAAAATGAGTACCAATTTCCCTTGGGGAGTAAACACCGGGGGTCCTGCGACAAGCTGACCACTTGCCCAGGGCATATGCTGATGCACTCCGGGGCCCAAAGATCATAAAAGCAGAAAAGGACATTGCAGGCCATGGCCCACTAGGGCTGTTGCGCCACTGAGTTTAGTTTAGTTTAATTAAGATGTAACCTGAAGAAGATTATCAGGAAAGTAATAAAAATGTATCTTTTGTCATCCACAAAGAGGTACCCAAGATCTGAATAGAATGGTGGGGAATGTATTCCCGAAAGAAGATGGCCATTTTTACTTTCTCTGCCGGAACGAAGGCATCCACTTGGCTGATTTTACCCACAGGACTCAATAAGATAGACCAATCCGTCTTAAAGTATACTACCACTCAGGACTGCTTGGGCTTTCCAGATGGAATGCTGTCTTTACATAAATGCGTACAATGTTTTATTCATTTGCTAGCCAAATCAAGATAACGCAATGGCCGCTTCATGAAAACTGAGATTAAAACCATAGAAATAAAAATAGCAGATACCTTCTGTCGAATGCTAAGAAATGGTGCACTTTTGCACACATCATTGGGTGCACTTTTAAGATATTAAGAAGACAGTTATTGAAATTTGCTTCAGCAATCTTTTTATATCTTAACGGTATAAGTAGCAATGTTGAATTCTTTTTCAGAGAAGGAAATAACCCAAAACTACGAGGCCAGGAATGTATTGGCTTGATTTTTAACTTTACCTTTATCAAAACATTTGTTGAACACAAAATAGGAATTGCAGGTAAGCGTCATTATGGTGTAACGTCTTCCTTTAAACGTCGGTTCTTCAATACATCTCATTAGATACCTTTCAGAATAGAAATATAATTCTCAGCCATGCCAGTAATACGCGGAAGAATGACATGCTGAGTGGTAAAAAATGCCATTAAGATTGAAAATAATTATTTTTGTTAGTTTCTAAATGATTTTACATTACGAACTTTTTTCAGAGGGAGTGGTCTGTACAATCAGACTTGCTCGCTTCGTGAGATCAAACTGGTCGATTCATGCTTAGTTGCCATTTATTACTCTGCGTTTAGGACATTCGACGCTTTTGCAATTGTTTCCACTTATTACACATTTCAGCTCTGGCTAAAATCTTTTCTCGTCATGTCATCTCTGGAACACGCAAAGACTACAATAATCTGTTGCATAGAAGGCGAAATGTACTCCTGTAGGCCACTTCATGTCGAATTTTGATGCAGACATCCTTGTAGTCTCACTGGCTCTGGAAAAGCCTTAAGATAAAGATAGATTGCTTCTCTAAAGCAGTTATTCTAGTTGATTACAAAGCGGCCATCCAGGCTGTAGTTATAAATCATGACACAGATACACAGATTATCTCAAAAATAAGACAAGCCTTGAATTTTCTTTATAAACACAACAAAACAATCGTTTTTCAATGGATCCCTTCACATGTAGGTATCGCTTCTTAACTATGAATCATTACAATTACCAAACATATTTCGTCATTCTAACATTCACAGTATTATTAAATTTAAAAAAAAAAAAAAACACTCTCAGTACAATCCGTCACCTTGTTCAGAAGGCATTATTTTCTTGTGTTTTCTTATCAAGTGCCTCTCATCAAAACGTATTTCTTTAGAATTTGCATTTGAATAATTTGGGTCATAATAGACCAAAGCTATTTCTCATAGAAATAAAAGAATTGGAATCATCATCTTTGATTTTCAATTATATCCAACATTCAATTTTTTAAAATATTTACATAGGCTATTTTATTAACAATGTTTAAATCCTTCTTATCACTAATTCCAGAGAGACAACGATGCTTGAGTGCTTTGTGATTCATGTTACAGAATTTTAAAAATTATCAACATCTTTCATGTCACCACATTTTCAGTTTTTCATATTGAAACACTTTATCAATCTTTAATGAAGGTTACCAATAAGCCCTAACTATCGCTTAGTCCCACAAAGACTGAAACTAAGGCTTCAGATTTGGGGGCGTATAAAATCGTAGTAAACATTGAAAAAGGGACAGAGAGGGGAGACCTACTATTTAAAAAGTTGAAATTAAAATTCCAGTTCAAGCATAATCTCTGCGGTAAAAAAATAGAAAATTCAGCAATTGTAATACCGATTAGGATATGAGACCGATTTCAAATTTTGATTATACAATATCGTAGTAAAAAAAACGGAGCTCTTTGGCCCCCCTAAAATTCGTTACACTGAAATATTTAGTGAAGTATACCTAAAATTGGAATTTAAAGTTCTGTTTAAAACTTCTTAAGATGTAATTGCTTTTAGTCTAAACTAAATGATAGTAAAAATGTAATATAATCTGATCTTTTCTCTTTTCTGTATAAAAACTACTATAGTTAAAAAAGGTACAGTCTTTTGTTTTCTTCATAAAAGCTAGGAAAGGGCGACAGAAACTCTGAAAGAATTCTCTTCTTAGGGCCTTCTATTGTGTATGAAAATTAACGGAAACAAGTGGATGATCAGGAGTTTCTCCTCGTAGCAATTTCGAGCTAGGAAAGATAATTTCCATATTTACGCATCTTTTTAAAGCTGAGGTAGCACGTATCCTATCGTTGATACAGTATTTTCGCAGGGAAAAACGCATCAGGGCCAGACGACTTTGGTGGCTATTTACAAATAGTCAAACCGTTGGTAACAGTACAGCTGATCCAGTGAAACTTCACACTAAAATGTAGATTCTCCTGTTGGAAAGAAACACTGCTTCATGCTTCTGTCACAGGTAGTTACTTTATGTCAAATCTGCAAAGTAGTTTCCTTCTCCTTAGGATTACTATATTTATAAAAGTTAGTTACTATATTTATAATTTTAGTTACTGTATTTATAAAATAGTAGCATCATTCTTAGTGTAATTTAAGGTAGGAGATTTATTGCTACAGAGGCTGTTCTCACATTTTTAGACGATTTTGGTAAGCGGTAATAAAAAATCGTTCTGCAAAAGAAGTAATTGCAATTGTACTATGTTTTTAAAAGTCAAAATTATCGTCTGTGGCTTGAAAGTTTTGTTTTTATTCAAAATGGCGAATTTAACAAAGCAGTGGTTCGAAGGCTACATTGACGCTCTTTTCGAAGAGAAATATGCATACTCCGTTATCCAAAATCGATGTGAGAGTCATGGTATTGTGATATCTAAAGCGTCGATAGGTAATATCATCAACAAGAAAGGAAAAAAAAAAAGGTCAAATTGGAGCCTCAAGTGGGACAAAAATTCCAAACTAATATCCAAGGAAAAAACGGACATCTTCGACTATTGCAAAGGTACGTTGTTTAATGTTAAAAGAAAATCCCCCTAGTCAAAAGACAGTTGCAAATACTTAAAATGCTCGGTGTCCTCTGTAAATAAAATGATAAACGTTGATTTAAATCTTAAGAAAGCGAAAAAACGCAATGTGCATCGTCTTCTTCCAAAGCCTATGGCTCAACGCAGGACACGCTGCAGAATTCTGTATGAGAAACACTTATCCAAAGAAAAATGGAAAACAATTGTCACAATAGATGAAGCATGGGTTTATTTAAATGATTGTAACAAAAAAAAAGAGCCATTTATTATCATAAAAGGGGAGAAAAAAATTTAAGTACATGGTTCAGAGAATCGAAAGAAAGTTTTTCTAAGGGATTCATGATTATTGCTGGTTTGTTGCCATCAATCTGTGAGACTCCATCAGGACAAAGCTAGCAGTCACACATCAAAATCCACTGTAAATTTCCTAAAAGAAATGGAACCAAAAACTGGTATCAAGGCCATAGACTTCACTGATATCCCTACTAAATCTCCCGATGTGTCACCTATGGAGTTTTGTACTTTCAGACTTTTAAAAACTGAAGTTATCCAAACGTTGTCCCCAAACCCTAACAGTACTCTGGAAAGCTGTTCGGGAGGAATGGGATAGCATATCTCTTCTGCCACTTCAAAAGGCATTATTATCCTGGAAATTGCGGTGTCGAAAGATAGTTCAGAATAAGGGATGTCAAATAAAACATTTAAAACACAAGAATTTTATGTAATTTAGTTTTGTGAATACAATATACATCGTCTAAAAAATGTGTGAACAGCCTCTGTATTGCTTATATTCCGATCGGTTTGAAGCTTCATAATTTGAGATTTAAAAAGACACTTCTTTTAATGAGTTTTCATTACTGTAATTTGGCTAAAATTGAACCTTAGAATTGCATGAAGACCATAAGCATATTTCGTATGGTACAAATCTACGAGTTTTAGAAAAATTTAGAATTTTATTTTCTAACTACTAAATGCTATTTGATTCCTATAATTGTTAAAATACTTACTGCATGTATTATATGTAAATCTCTGTTTGTGAATTGCGTTTATTAGTAAAAATATGCTTAACAGACATTTTGAATGACATTTCATAAACCTTATCAGAATACTGCATTCATATGTAATATCTTAGCGACATATATTAATATACTACGAATAAATATAACTTAGTTTTAACAACGCAGCAAATATTTCATAGCAGTGAATCTTAACTCAAGAGTCGTATAAACCTGTAAGGCAAAGATGTTATTATTTCTACACCATGGGACAACAATCGAGCTACAGCGAAAGAGCCGTGCACTGTTAAACATGCTTCTTGCGTTATTTCATGCACATGCTAAGCATTCAAATTACACATGCATAGTACATCAGGGTTTCATGCATTATTTCAGTCTGAACATTTTCAGATCGTTGCTTGAAAATTGCCTATTGCCTACCATATAGCACAAGGATACGAAAATCGCAAACGAATTTTAACTGTTAGTTTAACTGTTATGTCTGTATGCAGTTCAAAAAGAGGCGAAGTGCAAACTGTTGCTCTAGCATCTCGTAGACTCTTAGTCAAAATAAGGACAAGTATCCAGTTTCTACAACTATGGATACCTCGCCAACAAAAAAAAATGTTGAATGCTTCCGTCCCATGGAGCCTAGACCTGATGCTATTTGAATTTTATTTGGGGGAGCATTTAAAGGGTTTTTGAGCCCAACACTTTCAAAACTTGAGATTATTAATCTTTTAATTCCGTAAACCATTATCTAGCTGTGAAAACATCTTAGCACTATCAAACTTTTAGCCCTATTAAATTAGAAATATTAAAATCCTTTTTTTTAAATTTTATTTAAGCAATCTATACGGGGATCTAAGTACCTGAAAACACGAAAATGTGTGTTTTTCTAAAGCTAGGAAAGACCATTATTGATTCGATTTCTATTTTCTCAGAAATTATGGCTCGCATGCATTTTAAGTTTTATAACACTGTATTTGTATAATACTTGTGCAACTTTCGTTTTATGTAACTGTTCTGAGTAAAAGTGTTTTACAAAAATATACATATATATTTATTATATTTTACGTTTCTGTTCCTTCAAGGAAGTTTTATTTTCATCATAATAATACAATATTTTTTTATATATTTACATAATACTTTTAATACAATTTTTTTATTGCGAAACTTAAACTATAAAAGAACTTATTTCAGTACAGTGTAAAAAAAAGTGATTTGATTCATAAAAAATTTCAGTTACGCATTTATAACAAATTCTAAGAAAATATATATCTTGATTAGGACAGTTAGCTTTACTTGTATAAGGACTCTTGACACTCCTTAACAGCTTTGTTTATACCAAAATTATGGACATATATTTGTTTCATGCAAAGATTATTGATATTCAAATGTATATTTGTAATAGATTCTGAGAAAAGCTACATCTAGATTGGTGCGTTTAACCTTACAGGTATAATGGCTTTTAACTTCGCACAAAAAATTGTTGATGTCAAGATAGCAGTTGGAAAGTGAAATTATGTTAGCCATCAAGATTTATCCTATCATCATCGAATAGTGTATCGACTTGAAGGAAATTGACTTAAAGCAGCGTCATTTTAAACAAATTCTGCAAAATTTGCTAAGATGTCGTTAGCATGTTTTGTATGTTTTTAGGAAATTACAGCTCCTTTCGGAATTGTGAAAAATGTATTAGTCGTATTTTAAAAATGCTTATACATAGATTAATTTTAGGCATGATTTTAAAACCTAGTGTGAAAGAAATTATTTCTGCATTTAAATAAACGTTCTGTGTAAAAGATGTGCTAGTCATATTTTAAAATGTTTATATATTCCCGGTGTCGAAATATTCCATATATTTAACTTCAATTAATCAAAAAAGCGGGAAAATATTTGCAAGCTGGCGAAAGAAAGGAAGTTGAAAATAGTTTAATAATTAGTTTGTTCCACAGCCAGGGCTATATGGTAGGCAATATGACGGGGGACTCATATTTCGAGATCAAGTTCTATGAACGAGGTTCGTTCGCTTTGAAATATTTAATCTGATTTAGTGATAAAAAAGAGAGGAATTAATTAAAATTTTTTATATTAATTGAGACGAGTTTGATATGATTTACTGTTATTCTGTTTTTTTTTTTTTTTTTTTTTTTTTTTTTTTTTTTTTTTTTTAGAAGCGCTTTTGCAGCCATCCTTAAAATTCACTTTATTAATGGTGGCATCACATTTTAGTGCAGCTTTGTTAGGGATGTTCTTTGGAGGTACTATGTATGACAGATTGATGTTACTCTGATTGTTATTACTTCAGGCCTTAACTTGAATGACTAAAATAAATGGATTTGTAAAGAAGAACACTTTACGGTTTTCAACTAGACGTTTAAAAGGAGTTAATTGTTACATAGTTCTTTTAAAAGGTGCAGGCAAACTAACATGTGAGGAATATTTGGTAAAGGTGATAAATTGAAAGAGAAATTTATATTTAAATATCGTGCAAATTAAAAGTAGGAAAAGATGGAACGTCAGTATTTGAATGATCGCACAAAACTAGCGACGTAAAAAAAAAAAAAAAAAAAAAAAAAAAAAAAAAAAAAAAAAAAAAAAAAAAAAAATGCGTAAGCTAAATTTCATAGATAGTTCAAAATGAATTCTGTGTTTAATGGAAAATAAGTAATTAAATAATTTCCAAATCTGCTAATTTTGGTGAAACATTTCTAATTTTAATCTGTAACGAATATTTTTTGTTTGTGAAGTTATAATTTTTGCTAAATATAGTATATTATATTAGCTAGAGTAATTAATTATCATTAATTAATTTTCAAATGTGCTTAAAAACAGCTATAAATTCCGCGGTAAAAAGATGCCGCAGATTTGTTAAAAAAAAGCACCGATACAAATTTCAGTATTTAATATTTCTGTTTTAATGAGATTAAATGCGTAACTTTTAGCAACTGCATAATTTCCAATTATGACCTCAATCAAACTTACACAGATTTAATTACACTATTCTGTCTTTTCTAGTTCTTTCCTAACAAAAAAAAAAAAAAAAAAAAAAAAAAAAAAAAAAAAAGTTGAATGTTTTAATAAATTATAAATCAGATACATTTTAAGTATTCGAATCATGATTTAAACGCGATGAAAACTAATTTAAAAACCCTTAATTTAATTTTTACACGATTAATTTCATTATTGGTAAATTTTCATATATATTGTAAAACGGCGTATCAGCGAACAGCTTTATCCGAGGTTCCATCTTGTACGAAACAAAAACAAAATAAAAGGTTAACAGGGTTAAGAATACTGAAACGTATGTAAAAATAAAAAATAAAAAAATAATAATAAAAAGAGAGGGGAATAAAATCGAAAAGGATTTAAAAGTGTGAACTACTTTGGGGTAACTACAGGTTTGTATTATTAACGATTATTAATTTTACCTTCGACCTCGTTCGGACTTGAAGGTCCCCCCGTATTTTGGCCGGGAACCAATCAGATCAATGATCTCCGGAATGCAGCTAGCAAACACCGCCTACCATTGGTCGGGAGAAGACACGTGACGTGCAAGACGAGGAAGCGATGATGACGAGGTGCACACGTGCAGACATAGAGAGGAAAAGAATAGAAAGGAAAGAAAAGAAATGTTCTCTCTCTTTTTTAAAGACTATCAAACATCAACACAAAACAGTATTCTGCAACAACAAATCGTCGTTCAGCCAATCATACGAAAAATACAAGACAAGTAATTGATTGCTCTTCAAAATACCGGATAAGAAATATTAGCTTATCCATTGCTAAAAAATTAGCTTATGCTTCGAGCACGTCAATTCCGTCGTGAGCATTTAGAGAATAAGACCGTTTTGAAAACATTAATTTTTTAATGCCATTTGATAAACTATTAAAATTAGTTGAGTGAAATAGTCTTTACATTTATTGGGTATTTGTCAAACGGAACAAAGTAATTCTTTGCGTAGTATCCTCATTTACAATGATATCGGTTTTAATGACCAGAAAATGATTTATATTTTGCTTAGTGTGAAACGCATGGTTTAGAAATCATTATATAAAAAACTCCGATAGCATGCTGCCAATAAAAAGCAAGCATTCTGAAAATTTAATTTTGAATATGCTCATATTTTCTTAATTTGGAATGAAACAAATTAAAGCAGCATCAAGTCGATTATTGAAAATCCTGACCAACAGACGCAATTTTAATGATTACCAGTATATGTTTCAGTCTCCAGAAGAGCAATCAATGCATCCAGTATTATATGCCAACTTAACAATAATTATACAGTTTAAGAGAAGACACAGAAAACGAAGTTTTGCAAAGATTTAATCTGTTACTGAAAGGCAAGGAAAAGGTTCATAAGCGGATAGACTATGAAATAGGAAAATTCTGTACATATTGTATTTTGTTTCTTGAAACATTTTCTATTTTTTCCCTGCTCAAAATGTTAGAATGATGGCTAATCAAAGAATTAAAGTGATTCGACAAGACAGAGCATACTTGGGAATTTTCAGGTGTTCGAACACACATCGAGTGAATGGATAAAACCACAGAACCGGCATCAAAGCTGATTGGCTATCACTGGTGTACACTCAAGCGCAAGTTAAGCCAACCTAGCATTTTGTTAATTATTTGAAGTACCTACTACCTTACTGATCCAACTTTTTTTCACATTGCTGGTCTATTTTCATTCCTTTTATCTTTCTTCGCCGACTGATGGCGGCTAAGTGAATTATCTCATTCTACCATCTTGATTCTTCATATATTCCTTTTGTTGTTGCAGACATTCTTTTATCTGATGCAGAGTAAAAGCGCGCTGTCGCGTGCTGTCACTCTCTTTCCATTCGACACAAGTCAAGTTCCTTGGGTAAGGCTTCTTTCAGATGATGGTATAAATGTCGTAACTGGTTTAAGCTGACTTCGTTGCTAGGCAACCAAACCTTGCTACGTCACAAAAACTGGTTTAGGAATTTTGGTATTAAGTTCGAAGTTTTCAACTCTATGCCGACTTGGCATAAAAGTCGACCAATCAGAGCGAGTTCGTGAAACCTATTGAGTAATAAAACAGAGCGGGAAAGTTGTAGACATATCAAACGCATGCGTAAATTTAGATTCACTAATTGGCTACAGCTTAGATCCTGTCTCACAGGTGTGAAAGGAACTCCCGCGTTTTACGCTTTATAACTGCAGGTGTGAAGGGAACTCCCGCATTTTATGCCTTAAGACTACATGCCTATAACAATTATGCCACCGGCCGCGAAAACGTGGTATTGCGCGCTGAGTTCCATTCTTGGAAGCTGAAAAATCTGGATGCAAGACGGTTTCATGGTTTCTGTCATATGTAGCATAAATACGGGACAGTTTTGTAGTAGAAAATTACTTCCAAAGCTATAGTTGCAATGTGCTTTTTGTGCTTTGCGCAATTAGCTATAAAAAACCTTACCGAAGCTATTTTTTCCTAAACGGTAGTCGCTGAGTGCTGTGTTATATAAATTGGCCATTTATTCATATTAATCACATAATAAAAGTTGTAAATAGTTTAACAATTATCTGTTAGATTAGTAAACTTCTGCTGTTTCTAAAATAGTATTCAAGCGTCATTCCAAAGCAATCCAACGAATGAAAAAAAAATTAACTAAAAAATAAAACGAAAAATGATAAAATTTCTATGCATTTCGATGTTATCAAACAAATATTTAATGGCACAGAGAAATTTGGAGAAAAGGTGAATAGCGTTTATAAATTAATCGCTAAATGCCAGAGATCCATCACAAAAAGCGTAAACAGTATTGCAGGTACTGGCTAGATGTGCGCCACGTGTAATTATAAATTTCTGAAGAAGCTTACTGACTGTTAATAAAGACGTTAATAATAATACTACATATAATTATTAATAAAGACATTTATTTCTAGAATTTAGGGTATGAAAATAAAATTTTTCTATTGAAAGGTTGTAAATACCCAGAGGATTTGTTAAATAAATAAATAAAAAAAAAACAGTTTTATCGCACGTGTATCATATTCCACGTTTCTGCATAAGTTCTCCCCGATTGCATCTCTCTCCTTAAACAAATAACCCTTGCGTGCTTTGCCATGTTACAGTAGGCATAACTGTAGGTAACCTTAGATTTCAACTACATTCACAGGAGATTGACAATATGATGGTGAAAGTCTAAAAAGGGCAAGTAAAAGAGAAGAGTTTGACAATGAGGACATGATGTTTAACAGAGACATGTAGCCGGTTATATAATTACAACGTAGAGGTCAGAGTAAAAAGTTAAATGTTTAGCTTTAAATTATCTGACTCCTATCTAAACAAATTATCTTGGACAGGTAAGATTTTATTACCTAGTAGCACACTATAGGTGGAAAATGCCTCCACCATGAATTCTGATTATCGATGATGATCATAATTATAAAAGACAGCTTTAAATATTTCCGTAGAAAATTAAATATTGAACTAAAATGTTAAAAAAATTGTTTTGCAAGCGTCATTCAGGGTCTACTTATATAATTAAAATTACCTACTTAGTACAGATGATATGCAATTTTCGCACAAAGCATAATAACGTGTCACGAAGAAACTGGGGGATCTTCAGGAAGTTATGAGAGTTATCAGAAGCAATGCAGTGTGTCCTGGAGATTCTGTAAATGCTTTATATACAACCGTTTAATGTGCCGATAGTATTTTGATTTTAAGGGGACTCATACACCTTAAAACCCATAAGATCTTCGAATATGTGACTGTTGCAAGAATTGGTATAACTTATTTATTTTAAAAGCAATTACTTCCAACTTATTACAGCTGACTACATAATATAGCTGCTTTCTGAAATAGTAATCGGAAAGCTTGTGTTGCCACAAATATTTTATAATTTAATCCGCTTTTGACAAAATGTTTCGTCATGTTTCCCCCTTGCCCGCACAGTTTAAGATATTCTGTTGCATAATTTAGCTCCATATTTAATATATAGCTTTTATAAGATTTAGAAACTACTGTGAACCAAAAATTTTAAGAATTTTATGTTGAATTTTTATTTTATTTGGAGTTGAGTTTATAAAATGTATTTTATTAAAAAAATCTGTAATGTTTTCGTGCATAAAATTTTTGAATATTAAAATATTCATCAGATTTTTGGTTCAGTTCGAAAATAGTGCCCAAATAAAGAATTCCATCAAATTTCAAGTATGTACCATTAGCCATTTTTAAAATATCATGAGCGCAAGGTGGAAAGATGGCGAAAAATTTTGTCACAAATTGGATAAAGTTACAAAAATATTTATGGCAACACAAACTTTCTGGTGACTAGTTCCCAAAGCAGCTATATTATGTAGTCAGCTGTAAAAAGTTGGAAGTAATTGCTTTTAAAATAAATAAAATATCCCAATTCTTGAAACAGTCACATATTCGAAGATCATAAGGGGTTTAAGGTGTATGAGGCCCCTTAATACCCATCGATATGTTCATGAAATGATACTCGTTAGAAATCTAAACTTTCTGGGGAATAAGAAGGACAAAGAATAGTCGTGCTCTTCAAATGGATCACGAACAAACTATGACGTCATGATAGGGAGCATTATTGTTATTTGCTGGACATTAAGTTTTTTTTTTCATAGATACAGTATAAGCATATCTGATCCGCTAAGCATATCTGACCTGTAAATATGAAGAGACAACCATTTCTGTGGTATATCGAGAACTATCGATGTAGTATATCATAATCGGATTTAAAGCGGGCACTGTGCCAAGCATCGAAGCGCGCGCACTGGAATGCAAGTAGCTGTAAATATAACCGTGTTGCGAATGATGATATATTTTGTACATATAATATAAAAAAGTAGCATGTAGAGTAAAAGTGTGTATCTTGTGAAATAATTACTCACTAAAAGAAACACGGCAATTTCCATTCATGATATACTTTTTATCAGGGGATCCATTTTGCAACAGGAAAATCTACCAAGACTTAAAAAGCATGCTGGCATCCTGCCATGAGTATCGGTATCTGTTCTCAAAGGTTTCATTTTTGACACGCTACGTTATTCATTCAATGAAGCAGAAACTGTGGCTCATTAGATTAGGTCACTCGACCAATGTCTGATTTCCTCGATGCTGTGAAAACTGATGCAATTGTTTGCGAGAAATGGACGATGTTGCGCTAATATAACGCATAATTTGATCCACAGTTTGTAAAATGCAAGTATTGTCCTGCGCAGATTTAATTCACAGTTTCATTTTACAACCTGATATTCATGACATTAATTAATCCTCACTAATATTATAACGGCGAATGTGAGTTTGTTTGCGTGTTTGTTACGCTTTCACGCCTTAATTACTAAACCGATCATCATGAAATTTTCAAGAAATATTTTTGATATTGTAGAGTTCCTCACTTTGGAATTCTAAGTTAATGTTGGAAGTGAAGAATCTAAGATCTGATAAGCGAATAACCGCTTGTGTTCGGTGACAAGAAACAACAAGATAGAAGGTTAACTAACCCTTTATTATTCCAATAAGATTTAAC